CATCTAACAAGGACTGTGTTTGTGTCTTTCACTCAGAAAGGACATCCATGGCCCTTCTCTTCTCCTCAGCTAGCCATTTCCCTGAAGCTCACAGGAGCTTCTCCAATACTCACCCTACTGAGGAGGGAATCAGGGCCACAGCAAGATTCACATCTCACCTGGATGTCCCGAGGCTGAGAAATATGGGGTGCTGCAGTTCCTCCTGGCATTTTGTTAATCACACAGACACCTTTATTCTTCAGGAATATCCCCTCTCAAATTGCTGTCACGAGTGCTTTTCATTCACAGCAGTCTCAAAGATGAAACCACTGGGCTCACCCTCCTAGCTAGGTGCACATGGTTCTTCATTGTTATGTTATGTTATGTTATGTTATGTTATGTTATGTTATGTTATGTTATGTTATGTTATGTTATGTTATGTTATGTTATGTTATGTTATGTTATGTTATGTTATTTATTTTTTTCTGCCACCATTCTCTCACCCACATCAGCTGCCAGCAGCTCGTTCACTGATGTTTGAGTCTGGGGTTGAGCTGAACCTGCAGGCGAAGTTCTGACCAGTACACACCAGTGACACCAGAGATGTTCTCCCTCCTTGGGACCAACTTGTGGTGCATGAAGGACAAGCTACCTGAGTGTTGCTGCCGCAAGGGGCAAGTGATATTTGCCCAGGCTGGGTAGCAAGGCAGTTTAGAGGCTGTGGCTCCTTTTCCTGGTAGACCAGACATCACACCCCTGAGCATCCCTCATGCAGGTCAGGGACAGATGGCAGCATCCCACCACCTTTCTGCTACCTCCACCCTGTGGCTTCAGCCTGCCTTGGAAAAAAAAAAATAAAAAAGAGAAAAGAGATAAGACCAGGAAGAGGGATCAGGTGAGGACGAGTTAAATATAGATTTGAAAGGCTGAGGGAACTCTCCTGCTATCACAGAGACAATTACGAGCTGTGAAATGCCTGGCTTGGGTACAACGAGGGGGGAACACACCTCTGGCAGTCAGAGGATGGTGGTGGGGACAGGAGGATGCTCCAGGGCCACATTTTTTTCCTCCACCCTTGCTGGCACAGCTCTGGAGCATGGTTTTATGGCAAAGAAGCCGAGCTGGCTGTGAATCCTTCTCTTCTGAGCATGAGGACTCACCTCTGAGAGGAGTTGGAGCTGGATCCCCCTGACGCCAGCTCCCAGGATCACGAGCTCACGAGCAGGCTCGTGCCGGGTGGGTTGTGGGAGGCTGTCTGGCCCTTCTCGCCAGTGCTGAATAAGCTTCTAATTTTAACTGGGAGTGACCTTGGGTGGATGTTGGGGAAGGAATCTCTGGAGAAGGGATGTCTGGAAGCAGCCTAGAGAAGGAGCACCCTGGCAGGCCACAGCAAAACCTGCAAGATTTAGAGACTTTCCAAGCCAGAGGTGGTGCCACAACACCTGACTCGACTTGCTGAGGGATGGACAGTCACCCAGAACCAGCTCCAGGCCTTTGGCACATCCCACAAACCTCTGTGGAGCAGCCTGAGTGCAAAAAAAAGGCTCCCTTCAGGCTCTTTTGTGCTGTTGTTCCTCTCAGGGTTTTTCTGGGTGCTTGTGGGCATGGAGAACCCTTTCCTTGGGCAGGATCGCTGGGGACTTTCTCTGCTCTGCCACCCACACGACTTCTCCTTTGGTTTGGGGGTGCTCAGGGATGGCCACACACCCCTTGCACACCCAGACTTGAGCTTCACCAGCCCTTGGGGATGCTCTGAGCCAAGATTTCTTGAGGAAGCAAGCCAGATGAGATCCCTGGGCTGTAGGCACCGGGCTAGCAAGTTGTCCAGCCAGGAAGGGGGCCCTTCTGGCCAAAAAAAAATGGCCATTGTTCCCTTTGGTGGGGCAGCCCAGGGACCGAGGCTCAGCCTGGCAGGACATTGATGCCCTTGTTTGCTCTGCAGTGTTTGCCAGGGGATATTTGCCTTGCCCTGTGTGGGTGGAGGTAAATCAGAGCAAGGTGAGGGCTCCTCACTGCCTCCCTTCTCGGGGGCCCTGCCTCGCTTTTTGGTGGCAGCGTGGCAGAGCCCAGGCACCCTGTCCTGGAAGGAGCTCAGCTCCTCAGGGTGCCAGGCTCTTAGCCAGAGATCTGGACAGGTAATGGACTTCTTTGCCCCTGCCGTGGCCAAGCCTTGCATTCAGAGCATTTCTGTAAGCCAGAGTCAGGCACTCTGGGGTTTAATGAAGCATAGGGAGAAAGCAGAGGGTAGAGAAACCTTCCTTGAGAACCACCAGGTCTTTGTCCTCAGGGAAGGGCCATGTGCTCCCTCATCTTCCTCCCATGCTTGTCCATCTCTGCTAACCTCCTCCTGCTCTGATTTTAACCCAGCTTCCTAAAGACATCCAGGACAGATCGTAGCGTATGCCGTGCTTTGTCTTATATCAGACACTAGAAAATCCACCTGGCTGTGGATGCCTGGGTTATGGGAAAAGCCTCATCTGGAGCTTGCAGCTCGTTAGGCACCCGAGAACCAACATGATTTCCTCCTGCTGCTCCATGGCACTGCCCTCTCACTGCTTTTCCTTCGCTCTCCCTTGCTCCCACCCCTCTCCTTCGGGCACCTGCTGATTTTTCCATGCCCGTCTCAACCCTGGCCCTGGCTCCAAGTTTCCAGATGCACTTTCCACTTTGCTAACACCTCCCAGCACACAGCTGTCACCTGCAGAAGGTTTTACACTGTGACTGGGAGAATATTTCCACATCCACAAGGTGAGAAATACCAGAAACCTCCCCTCCAGAGCCTCAAACCACTTGCAGACAGCGGGTTAACGCGGATATACTCCACGTCAAGAGAAGACATTAGATTCATGGGTGGGTTTTCAGAAAAAAAAAAAGATGGGGATGAAGTGATGGGAGCAGCTAATGGAGCTCTGGGTCTTTCTGTATGGGCACTGGAAAAAACACTCCTGGTTTTTGGAAAGACCAGTTGGCACCTGGGGAGTAATGAAAGGACTCTCTCTTGGTTGCCCGGCAAGATACATATCACTAAGTACCTCTTTTAATCCTTGTCTGGGCCATTCGGAGAGTTCATACTCTGTCTAAGGCTGGGATTACCTCTTATCTTGTAAAACACCTTGCAGAACCCGATGCCTGCACAAAATAAACAGCGTGCTCTGCTTGGGTAGCTTCATGGAGCACTTGTAAGCGAGCTGCCTGAGCAGTGGCAGACCGCTGAAGGATCACAGTGTGAGATCCCAGATCCCTTTTACCACCCTGCTCTGCTCGGTGACTGACCTGTGAGCCTCTGGCTGGGTGAAAGGGGAACCTCACGGAGCTGCCAGGTCAGTTTGGGGGTGAAGGGGATCTGGCAGAGCTTTCTGAGGCCCTTGGAGATGTCCCGACCCCCTGCAATGCAGTCGCCTCCTGGGCTGGAGGTTTCTCACTTGGGATTTTGACCAAGGTCCCTGATGTACGTGTCTGGGGCACAGCCTGGACGTGGGACCTCTCCTCCCCTGCTAAATGATCTCAGCAGAGGTGGATCCATGGGTCTTGTTCCTGTGGTTTTGTCCTGAACCCATGAGGCTCAGGGTCTCCTGCAACCCCTGGAGAGATGTTGCTGCTCCGGATATTGGTGCAGCTTGAATTAAAGGGCTAAGATGTCCAGTGCAGAGGAAGTGCAATCTCCTCTTTGTTATGTTCACCCTGGGCTTGGCCACGTGTTGTTATTGGCCATAAAAATACCCCATTCCTTTCTAAATTGAGCTACTATACTTGACTCCTTGGCCTTGGGTGATAATGAAATGCACAAGTGCTTAGCAGACACCCTGCTGCTCTTCCTCCCTGTTTGCTCCAGCATGAATGATCCACAGTTTTTGGTTCAATAAAATATTTACAACCAAGGGAGCACGTGTGCTTCAGCTGTATTTATTTGCAGTGTGCCTTATCATTAATAGAAATCTCTCGGTCCAGCATTGAGTTCCTGGTAAATGCGAAAGGCCAAGCAGGAGCTCGAGCAGGTGGAAAGATCGTTCCTTCATCTCCTGTGAAATTATTGAGCAGATAACTAATGAATGCTTCTTGCTTCCGTATAGTTATAGCGCCCATAGCTGGTGCTGTGGAAGCAGGAAACAAGCTTTTCCATCCCAAATTAGCATTAGGATCTACTAGCACGTGGGGGATTTTGTCCCACCACTGGCAAACGACAGGTGAATGAACTTGAACTGAATGTGCCTGTCAATGATTAAGTTGTCCCTACAAATTCGTTATGAACCTTTCTGTGCCTTTTACTTCCAAGACTGTTGCAGCAGCGGTGTGCACAGGTAGCTCCATGAGATGTGCTGGTGATGGTCAGGTATTTTCCCTGGCAGACTGGCATCATCCCTGCTGTCACATTCTCCTGGCATCCTGCTGACGTTATGCTAGGAGCAGCTCCCTCCCCAGCAGGACTCATTCCTGTGCTCCTTGTGCCCCTTTGCTGGGGGCTTTGTGCTTTTTTTCCCTCATCCTCCACTCCCCCAACCCAGCAGAGCTGAGATCTCTTTTTTATTTAGGGTTTAATTTAATTTAATTTAATTTAATTTTATTTTATTTTATTTTATTTTATTTTATTTTATTTTATTTTATTTATTTTATTATTTTATTATTTATTTTATTTTATTTTATTTTATTTTATTTTATTTTATTTTATTTTATTTTATTTTATTTTATATTTTATTTTATTTTATTTTATTTTATTTATTTTTTACTCCCACCCCGCTTCTGGGAGGCACCCAGATTTGCAGGGAAGCAGGGACATCTCGTGGCCACGCCATGAACATCTCCCTTTCCTCCGGGCTCTCGTCCTGCCTGTGCTGGGGGTCGCAGGATTGCACCCTGGGGACCCCCCCTGCTGCCTAGGGACCCCCCCTGCACCCCGGTACCACCCCAAAAACCCCCAAACAGCCCAAGGGAACCCCACAGCCTCTTCCTTGGGTTGGGAGGAGGCACAGGAGGTGGAGGAGCACCTTCTTCTCCTGACGCCCGAATAATGAAAAGGGAAAGGGTCGTATCCAGTTCTTTATTACGGATTTGGGGTTGGCACCACATGGAGGGGTTGCTCCAGAGCCTGGGGGCCTGGCATGGCCCATGGAGGTGCAGAGAGGACACATCTCACCCCTGCCTGTGGCGTGAAAGGGGCTGTAGTAATGCCAGTGGTGGCATCAGCATGGGGGGGACATTGTGCAGCCGCCTCGTACCCCGCTCCCGGCCACGTTCCCCTCTTTTTGGAGGCAGAGGGATGGCAGCTAGGGGGGCTGAGAGGCTTTTCTGCCCCCAAGGTGGGTCAGGAAGGAGGCAGCAGAAGGTCACAGCAGAGTCCCTCATTGGGAGCAATCCTCCAAGGCCTAGGAGGAAGGAGCTGCACCAGCTCCTCTTCAGTCTCGGTGACAGTGACAGAGCTGGCAGCAGCCACCTCCCCTCACCTCCCTGCTCCTTCCCCATCTCCAAACGCATCCTGGCATCACTCAGGAGAAAGGGAAAGGCCTGACGAGAGCCACCACGGGGCTGTGTGGGACGGTGGCTTCCCCCCAGCCCTGTCCCCAGGTGCTGGTGGGACCGTGGCCTACAGCTGCGGCTCCGGCTCGTACTGCTTCTCCGTGGCCGTGTAAAAGTCCTCGAGGACCGACTGCAGGTACTCAAAGGTCGGGCGCTCCTCGGGCTTGTTTCGCCAGCACTTCAGGATGATGTTGTAGAGCTCGGCAGGACACATGTCCGGGCAGGGCATGCGGTAGCCCCGCTCCAGGTTGCGAATCACCTCGGGGTTGGTCATCCCTAGAGGGGAACGCAATCCAGAAGGGGTTATTCAGCACCGTGGGGATGCAGGGGCAAGGGTAAACCACAATTCTGGGCACTATCCATGGTTGTATTCCCCTATCCATCCCTCTGCACCCTCCCCAACTCCCCTCTGTGGGTTTTGGGTTTTTTTTGGGAGTACCCCTCTACATGTCTCCGGGCATGAAGCATCACTAGATGCTATGAAGCTGCTGCCTGCTCCTCCCTTACTCACAGCGCACCGTACCTGGGTAAGGGATCCTGCCATAGGTTATGATTTCGGTCAGGAGGATGCCAAAAGACCACACGTCAGATTTGATGGTGAAAACTCCAAAGTTAATGGCCTCCGGCGCCGTCCATTTGATCGGGAACTTAGCCCCTGTCCGGAGGAAGAAAAAAGAAAATCAGGAGGTGCTCATGGGCATTAGCAAGTGACTCCCCCAAATTTGAAGCCATTGTTTGCATCAGGGAGATGTCATGGGACTTATTGAAGGTACTGTGGAGTTAAGAAGAAATGGCCAGAGGAAGGTCATTGCTGCCTGTCTCCTGCTTTCACTAAAAGGTCATTTTTCCAGGCACCACTTTGCCTCTCTCAGTTCTGTTTTCTAGTGTCATCAGAGCTATTTCACTTCTAAAGACTTTTTGATATACGTGTGCTTATAAACGTGCATAGGTACTGATACACAGAAGCCAAGTATTGGAAAAAAAAAATAATTAGGTAGCTGCCAATATGCATATTAAAAAAATACAAAAAAAACACCCTCTAGGTACACTATTGTGTGTACCCTCTAGGTACACTATTTTGCTAACCTGCCGTGTGGAACCAGCGTGTTCCTGCAGCCCAAGGGATGTGCCCGTGCTACCTGAAGTCAGTGCTTACCACAGCTTGATTAGAGGCCAATGACAGCGGGATTTTTTTCTGTATTAAATTGCTCACTTCTAGGAGTCTATTTATAGCAAAAGTGCACAAATGATGCAGACATAGGCTCTCTGGTTTTCAAATCTGCGTATGTATTCTACAAACAGAAAACATCCTGTTTGGTTCTGTCCACCAAGACCTTTTTTCAGCAACTGCAGCCAGTAACGACCACACGATTGCAATTTCAGTTTTGCCGAGGCTAAATAAAAAAAAACAAGCCAAACCAACCTTGAGGCATAGGAACTGAACGTGTTAAAGACTGCAGGGAAAAACACATTTTTATTTGTATATACCCTCGCAGGGCTGAAAGCCCAAAGGCAGTGTGTGAAATAAGTGCCTTTGTTCTCGCATGTCATACTTTTGACAAGCAGACTGATGAGTTTAGGAAATGCAATCTATTAAGTGAAAATTGTTCAAAGAAGATAGAGGGGCAGTTGTTATTCAAGATTAAAGCTAGCTGGAAAAATGCTGATAAGAATTGTTTTCCACTGGAAATGTAGATCTTCTGAGTATGTTAACAGAATTATACTGATTTCACCAAAACTTCTGTTTAGGACAAAAACTCCCCTAAATAACTGCAACAGTCTCAAAGTGTCCCTTCATGACATTTCACAAATTATGTTTGTGAGATGTTTCCATTTTGAAATAATTTTATATATTTAAATGGGCATAATTTGTATCGTAAAGTATATTGAGAATAGCAAGTTGAATCAGAATTTTTCTATTGTAAAAGAAAAATAAATCTATTCAATTCCCTTTCCTCGAAATATTCCATATGGTTCCATATGGGGCACCTTAGTTTCATCCCAATTCTGGAAGAAGGTGGGTTTCCAGAATTTCATTTTTTTCTGGTAAGTGCCACGCCAGATTTAATTGTTTGGTTTTCACCATTTCTTTTATTTCCATCGTTCTCTGTAGGGCCCCTTTACAATCTGAATGGCATTCTGTCATCATTGACCTTGAAGTACTGGAAAAAAAAGCCACAGCCAGAGGAATTTGACTTAACCCTGCTGCCAGAAGGCTGTAGACAGATTTCTGCACCAACCAAACCAGCTGCCACCTCTCATGGCCGTGCTCTCCTATCCACCAACAGCTCAGACATTCAGCAGCCCCAGCAAGGGGTTTGGCTTTGCAGGTGGAACCATAAGGACATTTCATGTTAGTACAGGGAATATTGGGTTTGTCTGTTTGTTTTAGATGTTTTAGGTGTGCTGTTCCCTCAGGAAACACCTCCCAGGCTTCAGACCCCATCCCACACTTTGTAAGTTGTTGTTATTCAAGAGACGTGATCTGCTTTGGGCTCTGCTTGCCTGGGACGTCTGGAAATTTCCCCGAGGTCCAGATACATGGCTCCAGCTCCCCTCTGTGGTCCCGCGTGTGCAGTGACTGAATTACACTGCTATTTCCTTCCCTTCGGGCTGACTCACTGTTAACATGTAGGTACAGGCAGTGAGTTTCACTACTGGAGGTCAAAATTACTCTAGGAACACAACCTGAGATTCAGCAGGACTGCCCCAAACAGTGCCAAAAGACTTTTTTTTTTTTTTTTTTTAATCCCTTTTCTCTCTGCAAACTTCACTTGCTTTTTAATATCCCCAAGTGCTGCTGCCTCTTGTGGGAGCCCATTTTTGGCTCTCGTGCTTGCTCTGCCTGCTTCCTGGGTGCTGACAGCAGCAGAAAGGGGGCTCTGGTCTCACGCCAACGACGGCAGAGCCCTGTGCCTGGTCCCAGCTCAGCCCTCGGGTGCCCCATGTCTTGGCAGATCTGCATGGCAGGAGGGCTGGAGATAAGGGAAATGTGTTCGGTGAGGCAATGCTGGGAACGCCACTCACCTTCTTGTGCCAAGTATTCGTCCTCGATGATCCTGGCCAGGCCAAAATCAGCAATTTTGCAGCAGAGCGTCTCCGAGACGAGGATGTTGGCGGCTCTCAGGTCGCGGTGGATGGAATTCATTCGCTCGATGTACGCCATCCCCTCTGCCACCTAGGAGAGGAGGAGAGAGCCCGTCTCCATCAGCACCTTCCCGTTACATCTTAGCCTGGCTGCATCTCAGCCCCATTTATAAACACACAGCAAATTTGTAGGGTTGTCCACACGCCTCCATGTGCACGGACCTCCATCCATGGATGGACGGATGGACAGACAGATCAATAAACAAGTAGATAAAGAAGTCGACAGACCCATCCATCCATAAATAGATATCGCCCCCGCACATGTGTTTATGTGCAGCTCTACCAGCACGCAGCTGGCGTCCCAAAGCTTGAAGCAGCCAAGTCGAGCCGAGCAGAAGTGTCACTCTCTGTTTTGCTCAGAGGCTGTGGCTTTGAGCTGTGTCTGCAGCTAGGTGTGGAAAGTTGAAGCAAGCCTGAAGCCACATCACTGGATTCCCAGTTTCTGCCACAAGACTCTCCCCACTTGTTATTCATAAATACTACATATTAAAGAAGTGAATTAAAAAACAAACAAAGAAACAACAACAACAACAAAAAACCTCAAAGAGCTTGCCTCTCCCTCTGTCACAGTACCAAAGTCCAGATAAGGGACAACCAGATAATCTTCAGAAGACCCAGATACGTATAGGAATATGAGTGACATAAAGGGTAAGCCCCTGGGCAAATCCCTTGTCCTAGGCAAATCCTGTGTCCTGGGCACATGCTGCCTTCTTCAACCACCTCCAAAATTTACTTTGGGAGGTTCCTGCTCCTGAGATCCTGAGCAGGGAGCACCTAGGGGAGGTGATGAGTACCTATAAGTGCTGGCAGCAATCTTTTATTGCTGGGTGATGTAGCACAGGGGGGATTGCAAAACTGTAGAGCTGCTCTATTGGCCAGGTCCAGATTTGGGCGAGGTGTTTATCAGGAGGGTGAGTGGATGCACGCAACCCCTTCTAATAATGGTTAGCATCTATTTAAACCTCTAAACGCCTGTGGGTGAAGGCAGAGCGATTTTCCACTCCATACAGATTCACATCAGCATCTCTGCTTACATGTGGTTTCAAACAGGATACTAACACATACTTTCCAATGCTGCATTTCTAACCTGTGTCAACACCCCTTCAGTGCAAGTGCTGTTTGCTGCAGTGGAAAATGGAAGAATTGATGTAATTTCCTGTCCTGATGTTAATGAGATAGCACCCGGCGATGGGCTGGTTCCAGCCCAGAGAGCTTTCGAGCTTTCACCCCTGAGACTGACCACAGGATCGAGTGCATCAGCCCAGAGCTTTCTAATTTTAGCTCCAACAGATGCAATTGGATCCAAAATCGCTCTCAGAAGGGCTGGGCGCCTGTTGGGTCGTGATGTCACCCCGACACCGCAGATGAACAGAGATTGCAAAATCTCTCTGCCTCCTCCTCTTCCTCACAGGGCTACCTAAGTGCGTGTCCGAATCCTGCTGGGATCCTCCTGCAGCCACTATGTTGTCAGACCTACACAACCCTGGTGCTTGGGATAAAACGAGGCCATTGCCCCAGCCCCAAATGCTCCCACCCTCCTGCCTGGAAATGCTTTGCTGTTCCATGTGCTAAATATTGCAAGTTGTAAGTGTTGTGTTAAAGAACTGCATAAAGACTTGTAGCTTCTGCTGTTGGTGTCTCACACCAGCATATGGTGCCGGCTGGCAGCTTTGCTGTGGAGCTGTTTGGGTCACGTCTGCAAGAGCAGATTGCTCAGGTTGTGGTGCTTTCCTCTTCCATAGAAATGCATCGAGCCATGTTCTGTGGTGTAAATCTCCCATCAACCTAAGGGCTGTGTAGTACCAAGGCATTTGGACTGTTCTCTTTATCACCAGGTATTTAAAATAAATCACTGGATGTATCTTTTAAGAGAAGGGATGAAAGAATGAAAAATTGAAGGAGGGAGGGAGGGTGGGGCAAGACAGAAGAAGGAAAGGAAAGGAAAGGAAAGGAACGGAAAGGAAAGGAAGGAAAGGAAGGAACGGAAAAGGAAAGGAAAGGAAAGAAAGGAAATAAAAGTAAAGTAAGAACTGCCAAGTACCCGTTCCCGTGCCCGTCCATGCGTCCCTTCCCGGCACGCCTGCGCCTTCCCTTCCCCCTTCCCTCGCTGCACTGCAACCTGCCATGCCCTTCAACGTCCTATACCTTCCCTTCCCTTCCCTGTACCTTCCGGACAGGTCGCTACAGGACTTACATAAATGCTGCAGTTGGGTCTATAACTAACTATTAACATTTACATCCTGGAGATGCTTAGAAGGACACAACCCTATAAAGGCAAATGTTTCTTCTTATAAATAACAATATTTCCTGATTTGAGGGACACAATATCTTTATGCCTAATGGTCAAGAGGAAAGAACTGTTGAAAGCCAGTGTGTCATCTATATAGAAGTCTCTTTGTTGAGCTTTCTCATCCTTTTTGGTAAAAAGAGAAACAGACTTTTTCCTGCTCAGTAAGCCAGAAAAACAAAACGAAACAAAACAAAACAAACAAAACAAACAAAACAAAACAACCCTCCAGCACTGTACTAAGTTCCTCAGAGGCTGCCCTAAGGAGAGCAGAGCATTGCAGAGCCGACTTGGACATGAACTCAGGCGCTGAGAGAGAAACCCTCAGACAGCACACCAGGAGGTGCTGTTTTTCTCCGTGACACTCGACGCTGACACAGACTTCAAACTTGCAAGAATTTCACTGAGACAACAACAAATCGTGGCCTTGAATCGGTTTCCAGAGGCTGTTCACTAACCTGAGCAGACATATCAATGAGTTTTGGGAGATTCAGTTGGCTTCCTTCCTCTGTCTTCAAGTAATCCAGCAAACACCCTGCAGAAAATGAGAGACTGCTGTGATGCTTCCAAATAAGCCTTTACATTTGCTTTTCTGCAACAAATCTGTCTGAATATTAAAGAAAATCTGAGGGATGACAGTGGGTGTCCCCTGGAGCACTTTCTATTAGGAAAGTTCCCCAAAGCAGCCCAATTCCCCCCTCTATTAACGCACACACCCTTTTGCAAAGTGCTGGATATTCTTCACCCCAAGCCTCATGGATAGAGGGGCAAAAGAAAGGAGAATTTCACCATGGAGAGAGTAAAAATTTGGAAGGGTTGAGATCAGAACTTCAAATGCTCTTCAAATGGAGCATCACCATCTTGTGAAGTGGCTTATGAAATTTGTGAGCACATATTTAACCACCCTGAAAGTCCCTTCTAGTCCTAGAAAAGGATTCTGCACAGGAGTCCCACTCAGCTTATTGACCCGATTTTGCAGAAACCCAACAAAAATATTACACGAGGCTCTTTACCATTGGCCATGTACTCTGTCACGATGTAGATTGGCTGCTTCGTGACTACCGCATATAGCCGGACCAGCTTGTTATGCTGGAGCCTCTTCATCAGGTTTGCCTCTGCCAAGAAGGCATCAGGATCCATGCTGCCCTCCTTCATGGTCTTCACAGCCACCTTGATGTTGTTCTTGTAGTAGCCTGCAGGGAGATAATGATGCACTGAGGAATTTCGGCAGCTCTACGGGCTCTGTCAGGCCATGAAATAAGGAGCAGAAGAACTGGTGGATTTGGGAACAGAAAAGTGAGTGAGTTGTAAACCTCAGCACAGTGAGATCTGAGCAACCAGAAAGCGTAAGAGGGGAAAGGAGAGGCATACATGTTCATAAATCAATGTGGTTTTGTCAAGGGTCATCCCTGCTCTAGGTAAAGGAGGCTCATGAGTTGACCCCATCCTCTCACAGCCCTCCCAGGGCCCTTTCTGGGTGAAATCCCCAGGGACATCCACTGGTTAGGTTTTCAAATAATCCAAATACTCAGAAAAATCAGGACTACGCAGCCAGGAGGTCAGCTCAGCCTGGTGATGGCCGCAATCTCAAGCGCCAAGGCAACAGGCAACCCCAAAAGGGACAGCAGAGGAAGCTGAGCTCGCCGCACTTCCTCTCCCACTGGTTAGCAATGGGCAGGGACATGTGAGGAATTTGGGTCTGGGTTAGAAAGTAGAAGAGAGAAGCAGAGAAAGTAGGGCAGCGTCACCCGGGTAAATTATGATCCCAGATTGCTGTCTGGGGTTTCCACAGAGAATGAGAGCATGTCCTGGGAAGTGAGTACAGAGTTACCTGGAGACTCCTTGCACACATCTAGCCTATGAAATCCATGCTGGACCACAGAACCATGCAAAAAAACTGTCTGGTGCTACAAGTGTACCCATAAAGCATGTGTTCATGCTTTAGGATCCCCTATGCCCAAACCAGTCCTGTCTTCTGGAATGAGGGTTTTCTGTCTCCTCTGTTTACGTATTTCCTTCCTGGAACAGGGGGCACTGTACTTACCCATCCACACTTCCCCAAACTGCCCGCTGCCGAGCTTCTTCACAAGTTTCAGAGACTCCCGCGGGATCTCCCACTCGTCCTGTGCCCAGGGCCTCTGGGGAACCAGGGATATGCAGGGAGCTGTGAGCCTCTGGCACAGGCCGTCTACCTTCTCTGTGGGAGGAGAAAACACAGGAGAGGTCAATGGGCAGTTCGACACAAAATTTTCAGCCCAAAATTAACTTATTTCACTGCGACAGGAAGAAGTCAGCTCATGGGACACCTCCACAACCACACCATGCTTCAACCACGGGGGTTGAGGCAGACCCTGGGCCCATTAGGGAAGGAAAAAACTCACGGCTGTAATGATGGATTAGCTCTGGCAGGCTGGCGAACGTTGTCCTGGGGGAGATGTAATAACCCCCGCCATCCAAGGAGCGGATCCTGTAGTGTTTGATGATGTCCCCGTGGGCAGAGTCGCTGTCTCTCACAGATAAGGAATAGGCACCTGGAGAGCGAGAAGAAGAGGGAACTATGAAGCCAAGCAGCACCTGACTCCAGGACCAGCTATCTCCTCTTTTCTGAGCTGTAGACACTTCCCCCAGCCCTTGCTGGTGCCTCCTCAAGGCAGCTCTCATCAGGCTGCGAAACTGCTAACTTCTCTCTCACCAAGGCATGTGGAGAGGACAAAGGTTCACCAGAGCTTCACCGGGCTTGTTGAGGCTTGGTTGAGTAAGACCTGTTCATGCAGTGGCCGACAGCCCCAAGGAAACCACTTCTATTCAAAAACATCTCCAGCCAGAGCAATCATAGTCTCCTTAGGTCATCGTGGTCTTGCCACAGCTCCACGTCTCCCATCTGAGCTTTTCTCACCTGGACAAACACAGGATTGCAGACCCACTGGTCTGTAGCACATCCAGAATTTCAGTTCATGGGAGACAGAAGGCCAAGACTGACAAGAAAGGTCCCTTCTCAGTGTTACCCAAGGTCCCTGTGTCCCTATTTTCTCCTATAGCCCCCATGCCAAAGGGTTCAGCTGGTAGGCACATCAGCATCGTGTGGTTCAGCCGAATTGTTTGGCCATAAGCTTGTGTCTGTGGCTAACCCACAGCTAGCTTCACATCTCGTTGCAGGTGCTTTTTGACCTCAGGGGAGCTGCTCAGCCATCTCCCACTCTGATCTGCTATTTTTTCCTTATAATGGGTTTATAATCCAAACCATGGGTTTTTTATTATTTTCTATTTTTGCTGGTGCCAAAAAGAAAAGCAAAGTATGTTGCTACAGTGCAGGAACTTGAAGCCTCTGTCAGGGTAAATTTCAGTAGATGTTAGCAATGTTGTTTTATTTTTTTTTTTCCTTTGTCTGGATCATATTTCCGGAGTAAGTTGTTATAAGCCTGCTGGGCTGTTAAAAGTCCAATACGTCACCCATCTTGATAGGCTGCCTTTTTTAATGTTTGAAAAGGCAAAGCTATATATGTCAAAAAGTACATATCTGTCATGCAGGATCATAAGCAGAAGTGGGGCATTCCACAGCGACTCCGAAACCCTAATCCTCCGTGCGAGGGGAAAGTTTACTAACACGTAATGCTCGCTGACTGGTGTTTCTCCATTACCGGGCCAGTTCTCACTGCAGTTTCCTGCAGTGTGTCTGGAAAACATTCCTTGTACTGATAATTTGAAAAAAAAAAAAAGTAACAATAGAAAATCATCTCTGTGGACGTTTGGTGTATTGCAGTTGATTATGGATCTTGGCAAGCAGGATTTGGGAGAGGCTTCAAGTTTTCCAAGTGCTAGCAGTTGTTTTGGGGTGAATCCTTTTCTGCAGAGACCAAACCATTAAATATGGTTGCACGATCTTCATGGGAGACCTGCTGGTTTAAATGCAGAGCAGGGGAACCCCGAGTCTGGAAACACATAACGTTGGCATGATGGGGTCCTGCAGTGTCCTCAATGAAGTGACAAAAAACTCCAGGGAAGGGCAAAATGGCTCATTTTGACAGTCTGTGTCTCATTGACCAAAGGTTACAATGACATAGCTAAGGGAGAGATATTTGGATCCTGTTGGATGCAAAGAGGTGCCCACGCTTCTGTAGGGCTTGCGTCCACAATGCTCAACACAAGTCCTGCTAGAGTGGATTAACTACATGTGTTATTATTATTATTTCTCATATTTCTCATATTTCTATTATTATTTCTATTATTATTGTTGTTGATGATGATGTTCTTTTAATTTCAAAGTGACTGAAGTAATATACAAGCTCTAGCTCCTCAAAGTGTTGCTTGTAGGGCATGAATCCAGATGAGCACATTGCAGAACCCAAATGAGCACATTGCACGCACCGACGTGGCTCGGGGTGCCTGTGGGTTTTTGGCAAGGCAAGAGCTGCTGGAGGATGGAGCCAGGCGTGGTGTGAACCCAGCTGCACTGCTGACAGAGCGCTGCAGAAGGGAGCTCAGGATTTAATGACAAACACATGTGCAGATAGGCGCCCCGGGGGCTGACAGTCAGCAGAGGAGTCTGTTTGGTGCTGAGATTGCACCCAAAATGTTCTGCTCTCCTGCAGGACCTGCTCCCCAGACCCCACTGACCCTTTAAACCCTCCTGCATCTTTCAGAGCAGCGATGTGCACCATGCAGAAGAGACAGGGGCATCCTCCAGGCATCCTCCAGGCCAATCCATCAGCTGCCTGCTACCAGCGTTAATCCTTATCCTGCCATTAAAGCTAATGACTGCATTTCACCCCAAGCCAGAGTTCACTTTGCTGGAACGGGTGCCGTGGAGCTTTCCCTGTCATTCACCCTGGTTGGTGACTGTTCTCCTGGGACCAGCAGCGTAAAGGCACAGCACAAGGGCTGAAAAGCATCATTTCTCTCTTCTCTCAATGACAGCAGCAAATTTTAAGAGTTACATGGAGCCGGGTGGATGGCAGGATCCTAATCTCCACTGGTGGCAATGAGGTTGGCCAAAAGGAGTTCCTGCTCCTTAGCCACGAGGATATTCTTTGTCCAAACCTGGGTGGCACACAGATCAGTGTTCTGGTGTCTGGGTCCCACTTCCACGTGCCATGTGTGACATCTCCAGTTCCTACAGGTCTCCTAGGGCTCTGAGCCCTTCCCCAGGGAAGCCCAGGAGATCAGCTGGGTGCCACAGATGAATTCATCGAGTCCCCTCCTGCCGGGAGCAGATGCAGCAGCCTTGCTGCGAGCCTCGGCACAGCTGTGTGCCTGCCTTCCCACGGCTCTCAGAGCGATCACGATCCCCTTCAGGGGAAGGTTTGTTTATTTCCAGCAGCTTCAGCAAAGCTAACTATGCACTGAAGATTTCACCGCTGATCTGCTTCCCACACTTGACAAGGAGCTGTCATCCTGGGATGCAAAATGTTGACTGAAAGAGAAGCCCCCGGGCTTGCAGAATTTCTGTATGTTTGTCCATAAGCAAAATGAGCCAGCGGCACTGTGAGGATGGGATGTGAGTAGGTACTGCTCTAAGGCAGGGTGCAGGATGCATCCCTCTGAGGCTGAGTCCATAATGTGTATTATTATCCTTAGCTTGACCCAGTGCTCGGCTCTGGAGGTCAAATGTTGCTCACGTTGTGTAAAGGGAATGAAAATGATTGAGGAAAAGAAGGAAGAACCTGCGGGGTTTGAAAGGCAGGGTTAATTCCACATCATTGCTCTGGACATTTCGTGGTGGGTCACGGGGAGCTTTACTTCAGTGAACTGAGCATCAGAGCACATTTGGAGATGTGGGGCTTCTTCTTTTTCCCTTCTCCTCACAGAGGAGGAAACTGTGGTTGAGACTGATCAAGTGGTGTCACCGTGGCCTTTCAAGCAGCCTAAGGCATGGCAGGATTTTGTTAGAAGCTGGATGCATAGGGTAGGTTCAGAGAAGGACGGGGTGTTGGAAGGAATAACAGGCATATTTTGAGACAGAATATCGAAAAAAGGCACATGTGAAACATTTCAGAGCAGAAGCTGACCTCTTGTGATTTGGGATGAAGAGGGGATTTCACGGGGCTGAAATACGCTACATCTGCTAACGCAGATATCACACACCTCCAGCCAAGTTTGCTTCTTGCCAGCAGAAACGGGACTGTTAAAGACCAGTCTAGCCTGGTTATTTCTCCTTGAGCCTCAGGACTCCACCAGCACTGTCCAAGCTCCAGTGCAGCCTGGACCCACTCACACCCCAGAGAGTTTTCGGGGCACGATTTCATCCTGCGTTTGCAGATCATGGCAAGCAGAAACACCAAACAATTGTCCTGAGAAAATGCAGGGGAAAGTCCGATCCCAGCCACGTGTAACATTTCACAGGGGAGAAACCAAAGCACAGCGAGACTAAAGAGCTATGCTGAACTCCAAAAGGAGCCTTTTCAGAGCACAACCACGGGACCATCACGAGCATCATTTCCTCCATGCTCAAAGCACGCCTGCTGGCCCAGAGGATGCAAGGAGAGCAAAGAAGGGAAGAAGCAATGTGAAATCCCCACAGCAGCACCTAAACCAGCTTCCAGCGTCTACAAATTTACAGCGCAGAACGAAGTTGCAATTACACGGTTAAGCATTAGTTAATAACTATATCCACTGCCTAAGAGAGGTTGCCACAATGCTCTGCCTTTTCCATCCTCACTGGGTCATGTCCTCAAAAGCCAGCCATGTCCACAGGGAAGGAAAGTGGATGATGTCCACCTCTCCTGCTCCAGCCAGTCTCCCTCCAAACAATTAGCCGTGGTGTGCATTGATTCCCTGTGCTTCAGGCTATCAGGAAAAAAAAAAAAAAGTCTTTCTTCTGGAAAATGTTTCTCTCAAAAACCTCTCCAAAATTCCACTTGCTGCTGCAAATAGCAGAAAGGCTTCCCCAAGGGTGTGCAGAAGAATCACCATTTACCAAAAAAAGCAACATTTCCTCGGGGAAAAAGGGAAAAGAAACCCCCTACACATTGTTTTGGAAACTATTTGCTGCTCATCTGTGTTCCTGTATCTCTGCCACGAGCTGCGGTGACAGGAGCCACCCTCACCACAGCCTGAACTACATGTACAGGCTGCATCATGAGAAAATCTTTGCTGTCAGAGTTCCCACCTCACTTCTACAGCCCTGCTGAGCCTGGCAAGCGTGATTTTGCCCAGCTGGGTCCAGGAAGCTGCACGCAAACACTGGCACAGCTGAACCCTGCAGCTCAGGTCTGAAAAGTTCTCCCAGCCATGGCAATGCCCAGGAGCTCCACTTGCTCTGCAGATCTCACTCACCTTTGCTGGTCTCACTCTCTCTGACAAGGAACGAGCCAACTTTGTTACCAGAAGACAACAGCAGCCGTTCAGCATCTTTTCTGCTCAGAGTTTTAAAATACCACCTGGGAGACAGGGAAGGGAAAATTGTGGTTGAACAGGAAAAAAATATCATTCCAGGTTTTTTTTTTTGTTGTTGTTTTTTTTTTTTTTACCATCACACTCTGAAACTGAGGGTTATTTTTATCAGCAAACAGTTTTTTATCTGCTGGAAAGTGGTAGTAACAAGCTGTTTTTGATAGATTAACACCAGATTTCTACCACTTTGGGCTTATCAATTCAGGCAGAGAAGAGAGCAGAGTTTGCTCAGTTCCCCATATGAGTGATGCAAGCCCAGCCAGAGCATGGTCCCTGAGGCACTCTGGGACCCACAGCTCACCTGGTAAATGAGGAAGCCCAAGAACATTATATTTGGAGCAGACACGTGGGCTGGAGTCTGAGCATTGTGTGCCCACAGCCACTAAAAAAAACACCTTTGGATACAAAGAACATTTATGTCTCAACCAAGTTCCTGCTTGCTGTTAAATACTTGTTGAATTCGGTGATGGTTGGATCCCTCCAAGAGGAGATCAGAAAGAGGGATCCCAAGAGAAGTCAGCAGGTCTGCTCCTTTATAACTGAATGCCATCAAGGAGGATAAACCATGGGATAAAATCCTTCTTCTGCTTGTATAATAAGCATAAAAACCTTGGGACTCAGATCTTTCTTTGCAGGGTGCCAGATACGAGGCCTGCACCTCGGCTAACACAACAACCGGTGCCCGGATGGTGTTTCAGAAAGGAAAGCTCTGCATCAGTGTTCACCCCTCACAAGCTTATGCACTTACTTTTCTTCTTCCAAGCTGTCCACTTGTGCGACGAAGTTGCTGGGGATGTAGCCTTTCTTCCCGGTGCTGAGGGATTTTGCCAGCCACCACTCCCCCTCGCTAAAAAAAAATAAAAGATGAGTGTCCAGAGGAGGTTTCTCAACACGCTAAGGGTGCAAGGTCAACATAGTTTATGGGGTTTCAGGCACTGCTAGGAGGACAGTGCTAATTAGGTAAAATGTTAATTTTACTCTACAGGTCCCTCTCAATCTCCCAGGACCACCGCTCGGCTGAAGGTTGGTGAGAAAGACAACATTTGGTCTTTCAGGGATTTATGGAGGTGACAGCCTCTTTGTATTGATGCAGAGGAAGCACAGCCACAAACCTCTGCTGAGCACCCCATGAGAGGAGGGAAATCTGGGTCTTTGTGGGTTTATTTTGCCTCTTGCTTCAGGGTATGGAGGCTCCACCATTCTGCTCCTTCCATTATCTGCCAGACACCGTGTCACCTCTGGAGGACACCCCACAGGGCAGCCAAGGATGGAGCAGCCCTTCAAGGCCAAGTGGGACCAAAGCTCACCCCTGCCCAGTTCTGGACTGGGCAGATGGACTGTCAGCCTCTTGTCTCGTGAGTTTTACAAGATGAAATGAAACCATTCACCTCTCTGGCTCGATTCTGTCCTTTCCTCAGAATACGCCCAACCCACATCCTTTGCAAAAGCACGATCAGCACAAAATATGAAACAGGCTAAGTTAAGCTGTTGCTTATGCTACCTCTGCGCCCATGCACACTCGCAATGGGGAAGGTCCCAGTAGCAGCCAGGTGTGGACACTACCTGACCCCAAATTATCTGTGACCCAAGGGAAGTGGGAATGTCACCTTCCCCGTGCCTAAATTTGTGTCTGACCCCAAGTTTCCCCCTCTTTCCCAGCCTAACCATGCTCCTTGAACCCCTTTCTTCTAGCAGCTCCCTTACTTGGAGAGGACTTGGAGTTTCTCCCCCTTGACCAGCTCCAGGTCCCGGTCACTTGAGGCAGCAAAGTCGTACAGCGCAATCACAATGACGTTTTCTAAAGAGAAAAAAAAGAAGCAGCACATTGAATCCAGCTTGTTTCTGAGGGATAATGCACATGCAGGTGTATCGTGGGGCATTTCACCCCCCCGGGTCTCCCAAAAGCCAAGCTTTCTGCCAACCCAGCTTTCCTGCCAACCACAGCTCCTGCTCAGGGACTAGCACTGATTCACCGAAGTGTTTCCTGTGTGTGTATTTTTAAAGCACTCCAGATCCCTATATCCACAAAACCCCAAGCGTCAACAATGAGAAAATGTTTGTGTGGAATAAGAAGGGTCATAAATCATCCATCGGTGCTTGGCCTCGGTTTTACAGGACGGGAAATGAAAACTGCTGTGGCAACGCTTCCCAGGGTGGCTCTGGGAGCTGGCTCAACAAGAGGAGGTTTTCTTGACTGAAGGAGGGACGGAGACATCTCAGTTCCTGTTAGAGGAGCCCACTGCTAGGGCCTAGCTCTGCCTCCAGATGCTCTGGGTTCAGCCTGTGTCTTGCCATCCCTTTCACGTGCTGTTCCCTGCAGATGTGACACCACATGGAAGCTGTGCTGCTGTTTTCGACTCCAGCACCCAGCTGCTTTTTGGCTCAGCTGCGATTCCCAGGGGAGCAGGATGCAGGATCTCCTTCCCTGACACAAATGCATTTTTGATTTCCTCTCTCCAGACCTCAGACCTGATGCTCTGTGTCTCCCATTTCTCCTGCAACCCACCTGGACCGAGGCTGTGAGCAGATTTAAGTCCCCATCCCCTACCCTAACCCCTTACTTTGACTCCATCCATGTCTGCCCAGTCTAAAATTTGGCACAGCAAAACTAATGTATGCACTGTGTTACACACAAACCATGCTGTGCATGGCAAAAGCAGCCACTGGGTACACATGTGAGGGGCAGATCTCTGTGGCTGGAGACTCTGGGGAGCTGAATTGCTATGTTTTGCATGCCTGGGTTGTGCCAGTGCTGCTCGCGGAGAGGTTGTGCAACCATCCACGTGTGCTCGGTGTGCTTGCAGCCACTGAAGCAAAACGAGCAGATATTTTGGGGCAGATCAAAGCCTAGTGAAGAGGATTGGCACGCAAACACAAGCACTGCACCAACACACAGCAGAAAAAAAAAAAAAAAAAAAAAAAGAAAAGTAAGGGGGAAAAGGAAAGGAAAGGAAAGGAAAGGAAGGGAAAGGAAGGAAGGAAAGGAAAGAAAGGAAAGGAAAGAAAGGAAAGGAAGGAAAGAAAGGAAGGAAAGGAAAGGAAAGGAAAGGACCTTCACCGGAAAGGAAAGGAAAGAAGGAAAGGAATTCCCGACCTTCCCTTCCCTGCCCGGAAAGGCCGTCCCTTCCCCCTAAGGCCCCTGCCCGGTCCCCCGAAAAACGAAAGGCCCCCTCCCCCGCCCTCCCCCCTCAAGGAAAAAGAAAAAGAAAAGAAAGGAAAAAGAAAAAGAAAAAGAAAAAGAAAAAAAGGAGATTTGTGGAAAGCCTTTAGCTTGTATGCAGGCTAATTAATGCACCAAGAGCCATGGAGGGTCTATATATAGCATTTTTCAAAACAGACTGTCAAGCCACAGTCTCTGTGTGACCTTTTCAAATAATGCCACCAGCAAGAGAGCCAGACTGGCCCTTTGTCATCGCAAGATAACGTGTCTCTGGGGCAACTTGGGTTCTGTGTCCGTGCAGACTGGCTGCTGCTCTGCTGGCGATTTATTGGCGAGGAGGGATGAGAAAGGGTCAGCATTGGAGGGGAGAGGAGAAAGGGAACAGGGCTCTGTAAGCCAAAGCCACAAGCAGCTCCTGTCAGGCTTGCAAGGAGGAACTGGGGATGCAAGAGAAGTTTCAGCAGGGCCTCACTCTCTGCTACGTGTGGGGAAAAGGCTGGTCGGCCACAAGGGAGGATGCTTTGAAGTCTTAAAATAGCTTGCACGGATGGGGGCTTCCCCTTGAGGGATCTCAAGGCATGAGCAGTGCCTCCATCTCTCACTGCCTCCTTGACAAGGCGGGTGTTATACCACAGCTTCTCCGACACGAGAGGTTTCTGGGCATCTGCCTGCTGCTAGGTGTCCCCAGCCAGCGTGCTTGTGCACGCACACTGTCCAGCTCCTCTTGAAAGTGAAAAAAAAAAAGCAGCAGCTTCACTTTTGCTTTAAAAAATAGAAGCAAATTTGTGGACAAGGTCAAGCATTGAGTGGCTGTGTGCTCAAAAAAAGAAATAGAGAAAGAAAAAGAAACAGAGAAAAAAAAAAAAAACACGGAAAGATAAAGAGAGAAAGAAAAAGAAACAGAGAAAGATAAAGAAATAGAGAAAGAAATAGAGAAAGAAAAAGGAAAAGAAATAGAGAAAGGGAAAGGGAAAGGGAAAGAGAAAGGGAAAGGGAAAGGGAAAGGGAAAGGGAAAGGGAAAGGGAAAGGGAAAGGAAAGGAAAAGGAAAAGGAAAAGGAAAAGGAAAAGGAAAAGGAAAAGGAAAAGGAAAAGGAAAAGGAAAAGGAAAAGGAAAAGGAAAAGGAAAAGGAAAAGGAAAAGGAAATTAATTTGGGTCTTGAAACAACTGCCATAAATATTATTAAACAGAACCAAAATGAACCAAAAAAAATTTTTTTTTAAAAAAAAAAGAAGAAGAAATGGAATAAAAAGAGTAAAATTTGCAAGGACAAAAAGATTTTCTATGCCGAAAAAATATGACTCCTTCTTATCCCCCTCTCAACATTCATTTGAGAAACACTGCACGCTCAAGTGAGCCAGAAGAAAAGTGCTCCCTCTGCTTCAGCCAGCAGGACTTGCCGTCTCATGATGAAAGAGGCTCTCTCCCTCCCTCCCTCAGCCTGTCACCCTGCCGAGAAACAGCCTCGATAATACTTTTTTGGCCCATTTGGTCAGGTTAGGTCATGAGCGGCTCCGCGCGGCAGCGGGCTGCTGGGCGCGAGTGCTTTGGAGATAGAGCTAGCAGCCCTGGGGACTTTGATGGCGAGCCAAAACACATCTTGGCTCAGAGCTGCTGTCAGGAAAGTGAGATACCAGCTCAGTTTGCGTAGGCTGAGTGCCAGTTTGATGGCTTAATGGAAAGGGTTCTAGCAGGCTTCCCACTGCTGTCCCATCATGAATGGAAAGACTTTGTGATCATCCCATGGTGATGGAGCCATGCGAAGGTTGTGCCAGCATCCCTCCGAGGGCCACGAATTGGTTTAGAGCCGTGCTAGGGTGGTTGTACGGTAAAAGACGACCTGTAGGACATGTGTTGGCCCACTGGCTGCGCTCAGCCGTGAGTTAAAGCTGCCAGCAACGGGCCCAGCTTCCCGTTTCAGCAAGGGAAGGGCTGGTTCACCAAGGGAAACATGTACCAGGAAAGCGAGACTTCTAAACACGCAGCTGCTGGTGGCACACTGAGGGCAATGCCATTAAGTCGTGCTGGTGAGGATGCAGAAGACTGTGGGATGGGGATATTGCATTGCCCAGCAAGGTCTAGGTCTGATGGCAATGCCCCCTGAGACATCCAGGCTTGAAATGGAAGAGTGATTTCTGCCAGATGTGTTCCTGCCTTGTGCATCCATGTGCCTTGTGTTTTGACACAGTGAATTATTATTATTTTTTTCAGATAATTTCTGTTTTCCACATAAGATCAGTATCTTATGATTGAAACTCAGAACTTTTTTTTTATCAGGAAATGTGAACATTTGAGGTAATTCATGCTCATCTTCCTTCCCTCCCTTGCTTTCGATTTGCAATGCCTATTTTTATATAAAAAATTCTCATTTCTCATTGAAAAGTCAGCCTTTTCAGCAGAAGCATCTCTTCCTTGTTCCAGCTAAATGCACAACCACGTTCCCGACAGCATCCCTTTCAAACTCAAATCCACATTCAGGGAACAACAATAAAAACGACTTAGAGCTTTGATGCTAATCTCGAGGTGCATGAAAAGACACCATTTCCAGAGCACGTTTGGCTCCCACCCTCTGAAAATCCTGACCTGTTCACACCATAGGTTAGTCAAAGCAAGCGAGGAGGTTGCAGTTCCTCAATCAGAAGAAATGCCTTCATGTAGGGGCTGATCTTTCACAGAGTGGAGGAAGGATGCAGCACTGAGCTTAAAGGCATCACGTGAGTGCTTAGGGACCCATGGAAAAATGAATGAGAGACTCGCACGGTGGAATAACTCACAAGTGAAGGGTAGATTGGCGATGCTGCCAACACCACAGTTGAGCAGAGAGTTATTTATGCACATCTCGCCTGTCTTCGTGCTCCTTCCATTAAGCCAAGTAATGACAGGAGGAATTAAGCTTTTGTTAACAATAACTAAATAAATTATTTCTGAGACAGCAGCGTGAAAGCTTCAAACTGTGATACAAGTTGCCTAATGCCAAGACCAGAAGAAAAAAATATATAAAAAAACCATAGACATAATGAAAGGAGTGCAAAAAAATGCAAAAAGAAAGGGAAGGGGGAAAAGAGGAAAAGGAAAAAGAAAAAAAAAAAAAGAGGAAAGGAATTTGAGTATTACATCTCAAGCATACATAATCAGTAATTTTGCCTTGAACTGGAAGTGCTCCCATAAGATATAATTCAGCTCTTTGCTTTTTTTTTTTATATGATTGAATAGTCTGGATTTTGTGCTTCTTTTATCAATTCACTTGAATTATCTTCTTCCACCAGAATATCTCAAATGCCTTGCATGGTTCCTATCAGCCCATGCTGCTACATAGAACAGAGGCAGACATAGCATCATTTCTAGAAACTTAGGCACTGGCTGAGAAAAACGAGAAGTTCCCAAACCATCAGTGTGAGTATTCCTCCAAAACTGGAACCAAACCCAACGGACCACGATATTTTTGAGATCTGCAAACGGCTAACGTGGTACTTAATGCATTTATCATCTTTCCACTTCTGCCTTCTGGCATGAAGCAGAAGTAAAAGACGCCTCCAAAGACAGCTTCTGCTGTGTTTCCAGCCAGGGTGAAAACATTGACAAAAAAAAATAAAAAAGAAAAAAGAAAAACTGGTGATGTCTGCTCAGTTGTGGAGGTATGAAAACAAACTCACTTGGCAACGTGCCATGAAAACGATTTTGCCAAAGAAAGCATGGCTTCTGGAAAAGTGGTCCTTGCACAGAGAAGCACACAGATTCACGTGGATAAAGAGCTAAGCCTCACCCAACGCCTGTGTCAGTGCAGGCATAAGCCTGAAAAACACTGAACTCGCTCAAAACAAAAAAATTTAGGGTTCCTGTTCTGATCTCTGTAAGAAACGTCAGTTTTAAAGAAAACATTCTGACATTCCAGTAGTTCCTCTGGCCACCCCAAAGCAGAGGTGTCCACAAGACCACGAGGGCCAGGTCTGTTCTTCCACCCATCCTACCTGTTTGCCACCCCACTTTTTCCTTTCCTCATGCCCCATCTCCCTTTCTCCTACTCTTTCACCCACACGAGAAACATTTGCGTGTTGCCCGCTGCTTTCTTCCAAGCTTCCTCTATTTTTTGCCCTCTCTGATCCTCTCTCTATCTTTAATCTGCAAAACTTCTTTGACACAAATAGCTACAACTGCTGTCAGAGGCCAGGCAGAGGTAGCAAAGGGCTTCCTGCTAAAAGGCAATCATCTACCAAACGCTATCTGTGATTTGCAGATAATTGCAGAGGTGGTTGAAGTCAATAACCAGTCTCCAGGCAGGGGCTCCAAGCATCCTTATTTTATACTTTTCTTTCTTCTTGTTCTCTTTGTAGTCTGCCTAGGCTCTGTGATGCCTGCTATTTCCTCTGAAATATTCAGCTGGCTGGATATCGCATCCACAAGTTCCCGTGCTGCAGACGGGGCAGCAGACAGAGAAATCTCATGCAGCTGATGCCTCAGATCTTGCTTTGCTCAGCCAGCGAAGGAGTGTATTTCTCTTAATTTCTTTGATGAGTAGGGGAAACTGGCAGCGACAAATATTTAGTGATTTAACCGAATGTTCCGAAACGTACTGATAAACTCCCTGCCTGGCGATGCTGAAAATACAGAAACCGCACGCCTGTGACATGACAGCTTCTTCTCAAGACTTGCTGTTGGGGGACCACCACCTTGCAAAACCCCACTGGGAAGATGAAAGAAGCAGTAATTGAGCTCAGCATCTTACCTTGTACAGAGGCTTGGTTTAGATGAGGGATGTTGATAAATTGTCTGCCCTTTGATGGAAACAGAAAAAGAAGTTTGTTAGCTTTGCTGTGTTTGCAGGAAGGCCTGCTCTCAGCTTCACAGATGAGTGGGAGTCTGATCCAGAGCCCACCGCAGTCAGTCAACAGGCCCTGCATCTGGCTCCCTGTATGTCGTGATTGTTTTAGCACATTTTGCTGTGATGTGTTCATAGCTGGCTTCACTGTCGGCTTGAATAAACCTTGGCTCCCCTCTGAATAAAAACGTAAATCTGCTACCCACTCATTTTGAGCCTGGTCTGTCTAACTCTGATTTCAGCTCTAGGATCAATGGGGGATGAGATCTGAATGGTCCCCAGTGAGAAACAACAGTTGCAATATTATTCAAAGCAGAAAAGCTGGGGCATTCTTTGCCATGGTTGCCCTATGGTTCGCAGAACACCCTTTCCTCAGGGACACGTTCATAAAAAGAGGCAGTGATTCAACTAGAAAATTAATCAACAGCAAGGTACCCCACATTTGAAACGTTGACCTGGTCCCTAGTTTCTTTTTGGCCCAGCTCCCTGGAATGATTTAGGGTTAGTTTGGCCAGAGACCACTCCTAATCAGCAGCTGGGGTGCAACCACCTTGCTTTGGAGGCTGGGACTTTAGAAGTATGGAAATGCCCCGGTGGGCTCTGTTGGCCTCTACCCATCTTCAGACTCTTGTGATCAGTCCCAGGTACCTAATGACTAATGACTGGTACCTAATGACTGAAGTGGGTCTGAGACCACTGCCAGGGATATTTATATGTGTGCAAAAGGGGTGAACTACACACACTGAATTAAAAAATATTTAGTGCTTCCTGTCCGCCTTACCCTTTGGCTCCCACTTAGCAGCACTGTAGGGAGGGAGAGCTGCTCAGCCACTGCCCTTTCTAATTTAACTGAAAGAAATATGGACTTTCCCTGACATGTGGGAGCTTAGTGCTCGTGGCAAAAAAACGAGTGTCAGAAGGTGATTGATGATCCTGCATTTGCACTGATAGCAGCTTCCCTCCAGTGAACTGGGAAGAAGGGAATTTAGGAAAAGAACATCCTCTTGGTCAAAGTGACATTTTCTGTCATGAAAACTGAACTTCATCATGATGGGAGAACTCAGAACTGAAACCAAAGAAGTAAAAAAACCCCACCATCTGTCATCAAAATCAATGATAGACATCCTCCCCCCTCACCCTCCCTTTCTCAGAGCTCAAGACCTGAGATGGTTTTCAGGCTTTCACATGCCCATTGCAGATAGAGTTTCTCTTGTGCTGGCTGCTGGCTGCAGTGCTGACAAGGACAGGGAAAGAGAAAATATTTTCATGCCCTCTGTACAGCTACAAGCATCTAGATTATCTCATTTCCCATGTTTATATACAGAGTTTATTATTTGAGATCTCCTAAATGCCTGTGTCCATGCAAGCACAGGCTGTATGAATCCAAAGGGAGCAGCAGGTGCTCAGCATTTCTGATTCTCACAGATGAGCTGTAGACCCTCTTTTTGAACCTGTTGTCCGCCCTGATGGTAAAGTTTCCATTGCGGTTTGCAACTTTGAATCTTAGCGTGAATCTGACCCATCTTCATGCCATTTGCAGATCAGCAAGACGAGCCCGGTTTGCAGAGTGCTGAAGGCAGCAGCCCTGTCTGAGATATGGGGCCAGCTTGGAGGATCACAGTGGCACACAGGGCTGATGAAGGCCTGTGGAGAGGCCCCTGGTGGAGCAGGCTGTCCCCCTTCACCCACATGGTCCCACATGGAGCAGATCTCCACGCTGCAGCCCCCCCCATGGGTGGAGGAGCCCCTGGTGAGCAGGTGGATGTGGCCTGGAGGAGGCTGCGGCCCATGGAGAGCCCCCGCAGGAGCAGGCCCCGGGCCGGAGCTGCAGCCCGTGGAGAGGAGCCCACGCAGGAGCAGGGGGTCTGGGGGTGCTGCCGCCCATGGGGGACCCGTGCTGAGGCAGTTTGGGACTGGGGGATGGACCTCAGCCCCCGTTCCCCCGTTCCCCTGCACCACTCGGGGGGAGGAGGGAGAAGAAGGTAGTTTTAGAGGGAAGGTGTTTTTAGTTTGCTTTCCGTTTCTCAGTGCCCTAGACTGTTAGTAATAGACAATAAATTATATTAATTTCTCTATGCTGTGTCTGTTTTGCCCGTCATGATAATTGCTAAGTGATCTCCCCATCCTTATCTCAACCCTTTTCATCATGTTTTCTACCCCTTTCACTTTGAGGAGGTAGAGTGAAAGGGCGGTTGTGGTGGAGGTCAGCTGCCCAGCTGGGTAAAACCACCACACCAGCCCAAGAAAATAATAATAATAACCACCACACAGCTTTTCAGAGCACCATTGTCACAAGCCCACGCAGAAATCTAATTTGTGGCTTTAACAGATGACCGGAAAGAAAATGGCATCCTTGAGGCCCCCAAAAGGTCACAAAACTTCAAACTTACCTTGGGTGGGGCAGGAGGAGGTTTACTCTTGTGTTTTGAAGTGCATTTCTCATTGGATGTCAGCTGGTTTTTGCTCCCAAGCAAGCCCATCCTGCAAGAAAGACCAATAATTATTTTATAATTAAATTGTTCTTGTGGAAAGATGCAGACAGCAAGGGAGAAAACAATCATCTAATTCATGAAGAACAAAGTGGAGAAGATGAAAATGTAGAGCAAAATGGGACAGTGGAGGGGTGAGTCTAATAACATCCCATCTAGAGACCTCCTACTAGCCCAGATCTTGTAAACCCTGTAATTTCTGTTCCCACACAAGCCTGGTCCTTCACACTTTGCAGATGAGTTTCAGATAAGACACTGTAAATCACCACTTAAAAAAAAAAAAAAAAAAAAAAAAGGCACAAATGACTTCTCTAGCTGAGTCTCCTCTCCAACACACAGACCCCAACTGACTTGCTCCACAGCCAGGTGATGCTCCATGAATGCTCTGCAGAAGGCGATGCTGGAGATCCTGGGGGATATCACTGTGCTGAGCTGTTCAGGTGTACCAGTGCCTGCTGAGTGCCACATAGTCCCCAGACCAAGACCAAGTCATAGCCATGTTGCTCAGTGTGGGCCTCCTGTACCTCCTGGATTATGTTTTCCAGATACAGGTAGGTTGGAAAAAATGCATCCCTGGCACCTTAAGGAGCACTAGACAAAAATGAATAAAACCCTTTCCATGGATTACCCTCTGGTCCATGCTAGGGTTTCTACACTCATTCCTGAAGGCTGGTTTAATTTGCAGCCCTAAAATATAATTTCAGGTCTGGTGAATAATCCAAGCATAATAGTGAGTCTGGGTAGCCAAAATAGCCAAACCACAACAACCTCAGCCTTCTCAGCCCCCTGAAAATGTAGGGAGCAGTTGAAGCCAGCATTACTGAAAAGCTATTGCCATGGGTATGTAAGGTATCTACACCATCCAGCATCAAAATCTGCCCCAGCCTCAGCTTTGAACAAAAGACATAGAAATATATGGGCTAAATGTTTTTAAAAAATCCAAAAAGTAAATACTTTCATCTGATCAAAGACAATTTGGCTCCTGTTCTTTCTAAAACACCTCATGGCCTGCAATGAATTTGGAGGACTGGAGGTCCTGGGAATAATGTGGACAGTCAATTCCCCCAGATGTCATGGTAGTCAGAATCCAACAGATTTGTTCAAAAAGACTTCTGGCAAAGCAGATTTGTAGGAAAAAAATAATCCAGTAAAAGCATTTATTATTATTATTATTTTTACTTTCGAGCATGTTTCTTATTTCAACATCTAGGTTTCTAACAGAGACATCCCAATATTTTAAGGTGTCATTTTTTTAAACTGCCTCCTCTCTTCTGCCTAGGCTGAAGTCAGCAAAATGGAAAGAATTATTAAAATATTTCAGGATAGCTCCATATACAATCTTTTCTCCAATCAAAAGCTTTTCAGCATCCATCCTTCTCTCATTTTTTCTCAGACCCGAGTTTTCAGATGGCCCATCCACCTGTACATAGGCCTCAGCATCGCTGTGGGCACGGACTCGGTGCGGTTGGAGGGGAGGTTTAGCCCACTGAATCAGCCACAGCATTTCCTGCAGCGAGATACATAACTTCAGCAGCCTCTCCTCCTGGTTATAACCAGACCTTGCCCTGCTTAGAAGAGCTGGTTGTCATGCAAGGGCTCATGTGAAGTGAGCTTTTCCTTCCCTTCCACTTTGCAAACCGCTGGAAGATGACTTTGTGCCGGCATTTCTGATTCTGATTCTGAATGGTGTTATTTACCAGGATAATAAATTGGGGCAGCTCAAGTTCCCTTTTCACCCAGCGAACTGCAAAGGATTGTTTTAAGTCAAGACTGGGTGTGAGGGAAGGGTTTCGCACACAGAGGTAGTTGGGCGCTCTGATGGAGTTCAAGAAGTGTTGGGACAATGCTCTCAGACACGGGGATTGGTTTTGGGTGGTGTTGTGTGGAGCCAGAAGCTGGACACGATGGTCCTTGGGGGTTCATTTCAACTCAGGACCTTCTGTGATTCTATGGTTGGACATGTATCTGTGGTCCTTGTTACTATTTCTCTGGAGCATCTCAGGGTCCTTGGGATACTCTGGTCCCGAATGGGAAATGCAGACATGGCAATTGGCATCTTTTCTATGGACTTAGGGGATGTGAGATACAGCATAAGTCTGCAGTAGGCTTCAAATGCTGGTCATGTTGACCAGATTATTTTATAAGAGAATTGATGGACCGTCTGCAGAATGGTGACTGCACATTTTGGGGTCTTGAGTCACTCTCAAGGATGACTCTATCATTCTTGGCATGTGAGGGCAAGGAGTAACATCAACTACAGCAGGTCCAACCAGGTGTTGAACGGGCTTATGGCCATCCCAGCTCCTCTGGCAGGGTTAGAGGGGAGCAGGGACCACGCTTTGACCTCCAGATCTCCACACGATGTATCTGCGTCCAAGGGAGCACCAGGGACACCTTGGTGTCCCACCACACTAAGACTGGAAACACTTCTCTGCAAACACCTCTCTGTGTGCTCACATAAACCGAGCTTTCTCCGCATATGCAAGTGCAAAGCTACTCCGGACATGTCAGTGCAAGGCAACAAAGCGAAGCAAACAACATGTCCCAGCTCAGGCGGGAAATGGAACCAGCAAGAACTCTCCTGCAAAGGTCACCCGCTCCCACCCACGCCTTCATCTCCACAGCACACAGACTTTTGCACTGCTCTAGGTATTTATGATCCCTACGAAATCCAGCATTCATGCTCTCCACACCTTCAGCAGCCAATGCAACCATCCTTCACGCCAGCAGGTCTTAGACAAAACCCTAAAATAATGCTGCAGACAAATGCTGAATGGTGCAGCACGCTGCTGGTAAGCTCCCAACCCACCGCTGGCAGTGTTTTCTTTTTTAAAAAAAATATATATATATATATTTTTTTTTAAAGATGGCTGAGATGAATGCGCATTGTTCACAGTGTTTCTGCTTTAGATTATTGGTTTTTTAAATCAGCATCACAAAAATAGATTTGAGAAAAGTAACCGATAGGTCTCACAGTCTATTTTTTCCTCATAGTGGAAAAGAGCGCCGGTAAGAAAACAGTAACTCAGAAAAGCATAAAAATATCCTTTCATCAATTTACTACTTTGCCCATCTAAAAAATGTTTATTTTTAATAACTGAAAGTGGGGAAACCTTTCTTTCTAATATAATCTGTGAGTACAGATAAGAAAAATGTGGTTTTGTTCATCACATCAATAATATTTAACCAAAATGTTCTCCATGTGTTCATTCATTTTTAAACTCATTTTCTCAAGTTTACTCAAGTTCAAAATCAAGAAAATATATTTTAAAAAATATATATTTTGAAGGCAACTAGAAATCGTAATGGAACAAAGACAGCTGAGGCAACGCAAAAATTTCCGGATGTTTGAAAAGTTTTAGCAAAAAAGAGTCTGGTTTGGATGCCAGTAAATTTTGGGTAAAAATAATTTCTGCAGAAGTTTTTCTGAGAGAGTCTAAAGATTTTTGGCTGAGAAAGTCAGCAGAGATGAGGACGGTGAGCTCTGTGTAACGTACAGCTCCGAACATGTGTGGGGCACACACGCAGGTCACAGACACATGGGTTACTTGTATAGGACCTCCAAAAACTGGTGTGTGTGCCCTGGAGAACCAAAGGCAATTTTGGTTGTCTTCAGAGGTGATATTTTGGTTAGTGAGAGCTGGATGAGATGGATGCAAGCACAGATGTTCCTGCAGCAATGGTCCAACGGAGGAGTCTTCTGAAGATCCCACCACATGGCCCTGCTCAAGCAATATTTCTACTGATATTTGGACAAGGATGTAAGTTTTATTGTTCACCCATCTCTGAAAGGGGTCGGAGAAGTTGCCCCAGAGGAGAAAAACACCAAGCTGTGCCTGCAACCCCCACAAAGTCCAGGTCCAGCAAAGGTGAACACGAGTCTTCGCTGACCACAGCATTTGACGAGCGGCTTTGTGTCAATGCTTGGTCCATTTTGAGTGCTCGGGGGAGCTAAAGCAGAGAGGGTGGTGTCAGATGGGTGCTGCTGGACGCACTTAGGCTTTATGTTGTAGCAGATCAAAGAGCAGGATGGAGGTACCTGTGCTAAGCCAGGCGCTGCAAGCATGAGCTTATTTCCCCATCTCCTCTTTACGGTAAGCAGCCCCGCACCACGGGCATGCTGTCGACTGCGGTTGGCTGCTTTTCACTGCCCAAACAAGAGAGCTCCAAATTGCTGCTGATGTGAAGGCTGTAATGCCTTCTGCACCAGGGATGTGGATGACACAGATGAACGGCCTTGGGATCGCATGGGTGGGCGTGGGGGAAAAACGAGGCAGAACCTAGCAGAAAAGCAGAAGTCGCGGCTCATCATTTGCCTCACCCCCATGAAAGTGTGCCATGGAAAAAGAGCTTAAGGCTTGAGTAAGCCAATAGTATTTTGCTGTGAGGGCAGCTCCAAAAACCCCCAAGACCAGAGGAAGCACAAAATCACCCCTTTTCCATTCAAATGCTAGGGTGGATCCAGCAGGGTTTTTATAGTTGACCAAGATTAGATATTTCACCTCATTTTAAAACTTACAAATATCTTTCTTAAGAAAAAGCATTTCAATAGAAATAGCATTAAAAAACCCCCACCATATTCTGAAAATGCAGACAGTTATGTCTTAAATGCTGAAGTTTTTCGTGTGTGTCTTCCCCTTACCCGAAAGAATTACTGAAATCAATTCACTTTGGATACAATAACGTAATTACGCCAGATTTGCTATTTTGCATCATCGAGGAGCAAAAAAGTTCAGTTGAAAGATTTCCCCCAGGTCTAGGCACATCCCAGATGCATTAAATTCTCCAGAAGCTTTCTTCTCCCTCAACAAAATATTTCATTACATTTCCAAGCCAGGCACCCTTGGGTTGTGTTGCAAGACAGAACCAGAGAATTACTGAAGAACTTGATTAGATCAGCAGTGAAGAAGACATCCCTACCTAAGCATTTTCTTCTGTTTTCCAGTTTTGCTGGGTTTTGGCCGAGTTCTTTTTAATTTCATTTTTAAGTCTGTAAATGATTAGCGGCTTCGTTGCTAGGAGGTGGTTAGAAGGCAGAAATGAACAAGAAATGTGCTGTGCTATAAACAGCAACAGCCCTGCAGAAGATCTGTCTCAGGCAGAAGGTGGAGAGTGTGGCCACTGTCCTCTAGAAGGGCACAGCAGGTAAAGTCCCCTTGGACAACCCTTCCTGCAAGCAGGAGGGCATGGAGACCTCCTGCGATGCACACAGTGGTGGTCTCCTGCTGACAGCACGGTGACCCTTATGGCCAAAAACTGCTGCTCACAAGGAGTGACCAGGCTGTGCGTGGAGGAATTAGAGCAATGAAGTCCCTGTGAAGAGCTGGAGAGAATCACAGAATTATTAGGAATGGAGAAGCCCTCCAAGACCATCTGGTCCAACCATCCCCCTTCCACCAGTGTCACCCACTAAACCATGTCCCTGAGCACCACGTCCAACCTTTCCTTGAACATCCTCACCACGGAGCCAGAGGCATCATTGCTTTTGCTGGGATGTGAACCAGGTGGCTGTCTTACACATTGCATCCTTACAAAATTGCTGTAAAACTGGGAATTTCACAGAGCTGTAGGGGTTGGAAGGGACCTTAAGAGATGATGGGGTCCAACTCCCCTGCCAAAGCAGGTTCCCTGGAGCAGGTAAAAATTTCCTATTGGCAATGCTCAAAGCCCATCCAGATCGTGGCCCTTGTTGGATAAAGATAACAGGCTGAATTTCTGCTTGCATTTGGCCCTGTTTCAATAAGCCCAGTGGCTTATTTGGGGATCTCTTCTTGCTGCAATCAACACCTAGCCAGCTTGTTGTTTTAACCGCAATTTAGGTCTGCCGTGCTTTCCAGCTGCAGCAGGTGAATCCTAAGCAAATCAACCCAGCAGAAAACCTGGCTATTTGGGGTCTGTCTGAGAAGCCGAGACCCTGTGGGAGAAGGCTGAGTGAGGCTGGGGGTGGTGTGTGACTGCGCCAATTTCCAGGCTCCTGAGCTTAAGCAGATGCAAAAAAAAAAAAAAAAAAAAAAAAAAAGTTTCTTGACAGGGAAGAAAAAAAAAAAAAAGATAATAAAAGCTTCTTGCTCTCGGTAGAAGTAGAACGCAGCTGCAGGCTGCCAAAGTGGTCATCTGCTAATCAAAACATCTGTCTGGAGGAAAAATCGCTGCTTACATTGAGCATCGCGCCCCGCTGGAGCTTGGCAGATGCTTGGCAGAGCTGCGAGAGGCTGCGGGCCAGGACACGGAGCCAGGGCTGGGGGTCCGGGGGTTGTGAGAGGCTTTGTCGCAAAGCTGCAGCACTCAGTGAGCAATTTCTGCTGGCACTTCACCCCAAATCTACCTGCTAATCAAAGCAAGCATGGGCCAAACTCGTTAATGAGCTACGGGCAAGATGGAGCACAGGAAAGGGAGATTCGCTCCACAAACCACCCCTAGGTGAGCTCCCACTCTCTGTGGGAGCCCTTCCCCTACTCACCCCAGCAGCACCCACCTCTAACCAGCCTTCCCCATGCACACACCTCGCTCTTTTCCCCCTCAGGTGGGCAGGGGAGGATGGAAAAACCAGGGCATGCACACCTGGCACGCATTTCTCCTCTCTTTTTGCTGCAAACCAAGGGATCAGCATCCCTGCAAACCATCCCTCGAGGCTCGGTCTCATCAGCCTCTCGGGACTGCTCCCATCTTACCCCACAGATCTCGGGGAAGGGAAGCAGGGCAGGGGGCACCACATGAGGAGGGGATGGGGAAGAGGAAGGAGATAGAGAAAAGCCTGCTGGGCTTCTCCCCACCCGCGGGGGGATGCGCACAGGGGTGGGGTGACCCCTACTTGCCTGCTTGCCACGCAGCCGCTCCTGGAGGCGCGATCCAAGGAGGGACGAAGCACGGGTCCGACCCATGGCAGATGCTCCATGGGGCTGGGAGCGGTGGCAGAACTTCTCTGTGAGAGACCCCCGGCTCACACCACGTCCACACCATCCATGGGACCGGTGGTTTCGAGTCTTACGCCCCCCCAGGATGCCAGAGCAGCCTGGTTTTGCAGATGGTTTTTAATGGGCTTTCTTTTTTTAATCGTGCCTCTGTGTCAGAACCGGCTCCTCGCTTCCCCCCAAGGATTCCTTGCTCTATTTTGGATATCGGCACGATCCATCGGGGAGGAGGGGGGGCAAGCTGCACTTCCCAGACAACCTGGCCAATGAAAACAGCACTGAGAGAGGCGAGAAACCCGGAGAGAACCCAGACACAAAACCCAGCGAAACCCACAGGCTATTAGCAGCTGTCATTAAAATCAGCCGCGATGGCTGTGGATGGGCTGTTTCCACTAGGCAAACCACCAAATTCGGGGAAACGGCTGAACAAACTGGCTTTGCAGCGATCTCTCCTTGTTGTGATGAGAAGAAAAATACTAATAAAGGTCTTTCCAGATTAAATGTGTTTTGTTCCAGAGAGCCCCGACCCCCTATGAACCTACTGAGTCGTGTCACCGAGGATGCGGCGTGCTCTGGTGAACGAAGACCTGGACAGGGAGACTCTGAGGAAGTTACTTTCTCATTCTGCCTCAACACGTTCAGTAGGGAGGCTGAAACGTGTCTGCCTTAGGAGGTAAATGATGTACCAGAAGCAAGATTTGTTTCTACACACTCCCGAGGCTTCCCGTGGGGAGCATTTTCCATGCATTTTGTGGAGCAGACCTGCTGGGTTGCCATTTACTGTCCTCCAGCCGTCGCAAGGACCCCCCCAGAACCTCTGTGGGTAATACCACGACGTGGTTTCTGCAGCAGGGAGGGAAGGGACGCTGGGTCTCAGCACCCCTGAGGCTTTCAGCCCATGCCTCGGCTGCGCTCGCTGGGACGGATGAAGGCAAGGTGACATCCGCCGAGCGCGGCGCACGGCCCAGAGGCCGCCCACGTGCTGGTGGTGTTGTTTACAAAGAAAAGGCTTCGTGGGGCTGCTCGAAGCCCAGGTCAAGGCAGAGGATGTTTACCAGCCTTCAGACCAGGGTGGCTGAGGACACGATGCTGTGTGAGCGGGGAAGGTGCCCCGCGATGCGGGTGCCGATGCTTGTGGGCATCGCCGAGGCTCTGTGCTCCTGGCAGAGTGGGACAACAGCCTGGGCCCTAAGCAGGACTCTGCAAGTGCCTTGTTGGCCTTGGGGTCATGCCATGCCTCTTATCCTACAGCTGGCAGAGCCCAGGGCCATCCTGGGGGCTCTCTGAGGACAACCGGGACAGACACCCACCTCGCTGCCCCTCCGGCAGGTGTGCTGCAAAATCAGGCCGGCTCTTTGCATACCAAGGACATACAGAAATGAGGAAGCCCTTGCAGATTTGTCAAACCTCTCCCTCCCCAGCTTGCATTTTGCTGCCTCCGCTCTCCTCCAACTAAGGGCTGGGGAGGGAGGACAGAGCTGGAGGAGGTCAGGTTGGGGCTGGGGAGGGAGAGGGCAGATTTAGGGTTAGCTGGAGCGCTTTGAGCTGTAGGGCAGGGCTTCATCCTCCGGCAGAGAGTGCATCTGAAGTACCTGAGTGCTCTCTGCTAAGTGAGCTTCACTTCCTATTCCTACAAAAAAGGGAAGTTGCTTTTTTAGAAAGCTGCTTGCCATCCACCGCAGAGGTAGGAAGGAGGAGCCACCACAAGGTGCAGCAAAGGCTTAGAAATAAGGCTGCTGAGTCATCTTGGGAAACAGGGCGCCAGCACGGCAGCTCCAGACAGAAACCTGCTTCTGATTTGAGACACGTTCCCGGTTCTGACAGTGGGGAAACCCAGCAGCTGCAGCCAGGCTGCTGCACAGACCCTTCCAGGGAGGGCAGCAGTTAAAGCAGCTCGGAAGTGAGGAGTTTATTTAAACAGGTTAGATAATGTGCAACCTACCTACTGCATCCCAGGGAGGTTTTTAGGGACCTAGCCCTTCATCCCTGTGCCTCCTCTGTTGCCTCCAGACTGGGAATCTCCCGGCCATGAGACGAGATCCAGAGCAGAGAAGCCCAGGCAGTGAATGCCCTCCTGCAATCTGTCTGCTCAGAAATCACGAAGCGCCAGCCCACGGGTGTCCTTTAAAAGAAACTGGAGGGAAGTCACTGCGAAAGCAGGCGAAAAAAGGGCACTGAAAAGAGAGGAAGTCTTGTACGCAGCTCCCGGGTTGCTCCAGATGGGCTCCACCTGCCCCCAGCTTCCCCAGCCCGGGGGTGCAGGCTGTCATCAACCCTGCTCCAGCAGGGTCTGGCTGGCAGTGGTCCCACCTCACTGCCACGTGTTGGTCTCCAGATGTTCTCCAGGAGCATTGCAGGGTGCAATCCCACAGCTGGCTCATCTCTGCTACCTGCTACAATCCCCCATCAGTGGTGCGCCGAGCCCAAAAGTCTAGCCCATGGGGAAAACACCCAAAGAAAGATCTCTAGGAGCAACCACACCTCTGGATGTGGAAAGGGTCCAAAAAATGCTGCCAGCTCCCTCTGGATGACCCAAAACCCAATGGATTGGCCACCCGGCCATACCCCCAACACCAGTGGCCCACTGCACAGCCTCCTTCTGCAGCAGAGCCCACTCCCACCACATTTACACTCCCTTTACACTGAACCCAATAAAAGTGTTCCCGTTAAGGTGGCTACTGCAGAAAGGACTTCGGCTTCGATCTGAAGCCACCCAGAGGGATGAAGGCACCTCCACTTTCCACTTGGCCCCAGGGGCTGCTCCTTACACCCCTGCAGTGCAAACTGGGTGGCTCGTTCCCTCCAGACCTTGCTCTCATGGCCTGCTCATGATTTTTCCCCTCTCATTAACAACGAGCATCCTAATTTACCATCTGAACCTCCCAGCTGCCATTCCTCTGGCAGATTAAAAGCTAATTTAGAGCACTGGAGTGCTGCTGGAGGAGGATGCTGACGCATGGTAACCAACCCTCCAGCCTCCATTTCAACCACTGGGGCTTTCTGAGCTCCAAGGCAGCATCTCTGCAAGTAAAATAGTGTCAGGTCTCCATCTCTCCCCCCTTAAAATAAGGTAGCTGCATCCAAACTCCTAGCTAGGGCTTTGCAGGGCTCTCCCTTGTTCAGCTACTGGTGTTTATTGCTGAATCCTGTGGGTTAGCCCAAGGGATGGGGAAGAAAATGCATCAGTGGCTTTGTTTGAGGTTTACTGTGTGGTATTCTACTGGTAGGGACGTGCTCTCCTCCACAATCCTCCCTGCCAAGCTTCCTCCACACCAAGCCTCTTCTTGCTACTTGCAGCAGTTAAAGCCCTGCCTCGCTGGTATTTTCATCGAATGCTGGAAAAAAGGGTATTTTCTGATGCAAGCTTACTCTAGTAATGTCTCAAACAGCTGTGGTCTTCCTCCTGTGAGTCTCAAGTGCTGAAGGCTGAATACGTAAGAGGCAACTGGGAAAAAACTCTGTGATAAAAGTCAAGGTAAAGATTTTATATCAATTTTTCTATTTGCTTAGTATGACCTTGTTTCTCATTCCTTCCATCGCATGTTGCTGATGACGCTGCGATTTTTCCATAGACCACTTAACCTGCATTCGAAGCCCATTTTTCGAGAATCACGCAACCGTTTTGAGATGTTCTGCCCCTAATTTTCTCGTTTCCAAGCCATTCACTGTGAGCAGTTAATCACGTAAGCACGGATGCCATTGTGGCTTGCGTCTTGGGCAAGCACCAAGCTGACCTCAGCTAAGTCCTGCAACACCTCGGCTCCTCTGCCCGTGTTACTTTGTCAGGGTTTTCCTTTTTCCCACCACAGGCTACACTGACAAGAGGGACACCCTCCTGTGAGGCCACCTGGTGTAATCTGATGGCCCTTCACCACTTGCCACCATAGCCTGGGGAAGAACAGAGCTCTGAGAAAAGAGGAGGCTTTGACCTTCTGCGGATGAGGAGATATTTGCAATGTGGTAAACGAGGACCTCGGTGACTCGGATGCAGGGTCAATTGCCTCATTTGCCTCTTGGCCATAATGCAAATGGCACCAAGAGTTTGTTCACCCCAGCTTCCTCCACCCAGAATTGCGTTTCAACTATCGGTAAGGCAGCCCAGATGCCCCAGAAAAAGTAATAATTTTTCACTCTTCTCCTCTTACTGGGTAGCAAAGGACTCATTTGTAAACCCCATGTGTTTTCTATTTCTGCTCTGTCTCCTACGTGCCTGACATGCAGGACACAAGGAGTCCTGCACGCTGCTTTTTGATCAGCAACAGATTTCCCACTTCCCAGACGAGCAGAAGTCATCTGTGAGATCCAGTCAAGTTCAACAAATTATTTCATAAGTAAATAAAAGTTTGTCGGGGAGGAAACCAGCAGAGAGGTTTTGAAGAGCACATTTCACTTCGGAAAAGAAGTAAGTTTTACAGGGTCACAGAAATGTGGGGCTGACCCTCAGAAGGTCATCTATCTGCTTGGTGGACCTAGATTTTTCTGGGAGACAACCTAACTGGTGCTTGCTGATGGAAATTCCCACTGTTCCCCAGTCTGTCCCAGCTCTTCAAGATCCATAGCCTTAAAATGACTTCTTAATGATGGGCACTTTTTAATGATCGGCACGAATTTCCTTACTGAAAGACCTACAACTCCTTGTCCTGCCCATGGTGAACACAGAGTTTATTCCCTCCTTTTTGTTTGCAGGGGCACCAGCAAATCAAGCAGCACTACTTCTTGCAAAAATTCCCTATTGATCACGCTGTCCGCACCTTTGCTCAGCTGTGTCCTTCTTCTTTAGGCCCTTTGAAATGGGGTTTGGGAGCTTGAATAGGCAAACCCGCAATGTTTTCCGAGTTAAAACTGACCGACATTAACAAAGGCAAAATTACTCTGTAAAACCCCAGAAACATTGTTCTCCAGCTCAGTTGCAACATTTTCTTGGAAGCAATTATAATTATAAGTCTATTTTTTATTTCAACACAAGGAGCTGCTCTCTTTGGGGGTTGTTTTTTTTTTTTTTTAGAGGGGAGAGGGGGAATTTTTTTGGCTGGACAGTGAAATGAGTTCAAGTGGCGTTAGCCGTGATGTGGAAGACAGAGAGACCTCTGAGAAGCACAGGGCTTGTTGAATATGAAATGCTAGAGGCCTGGTTTATGTTCCTGGTTTATAAGTTGCACTTTAACACTTATTTTTAAACCAAAACCATGACCTGTATATCCTGTTTCATATAGGGATGTACTTTCTTTTGAGTTTCATAGTGACATCTGATGGTGCAGCCAATCCTTCCACAAGTAGTGGGACCCTGAGGCTGTAATCTGTTGCCAAGACCTCTGAAAAGGGAGAATTGCATCCAATTTTATCCCCTCTGCTACCTCTAATCTCTGCTGCTTGCAGTGCGGTACGGATCTAACGAGAAAGCTGAATTGCAGCACATTAAATGAATCAGTGAGTGGAAACTTTGGGGTTGCCCATGGCTCCAGCAGGATTTAGCCCTGGGGCTCTTGCAAAATTGTTGCCCATGATTGAACCCCGTGGGTCTGCAGGAAACGATTGACTACAGGGGAGCTCACCCACATGGAGTCAACGCTTGGTTGCCTCCTTGAGTCTCATCAAGCATGAAAAAGCAGCGAGGAAACTCCCTTTTTAACATAGAGAGAATGGAAAGACTGATAGTAAGGAAGGAAGACAAATAATGATGAAGTAACAGTGTGCCCAAAAGCTCCTACTCTGCCCAACACGGTGCCGTCACTCCTGTGAAATCCACAGGGACATGTTTCCAGATGACAACGGGGTATCGCTGGTGAAAAATGCCTCATTTCCAAAAGTCCCCTCTGCACTTGAAGGCAGCCTCAACACCTGCTTGGACTTTGATGTGCCCATAAAGGTTTCAAGGAGAATTACAGGCTGAAAAGTCAGTCAAGAGGAAAATCACAAAGCAAAAATAAGAGGGCTGATCTCCTTGTCTGAACTGGATGTATGGCCCAAATTCTGTAGAAGGAGGATGCCTTTATTATTATTATTTAATGCTCAGCTTGAGATATCATGGGCTTATTTAGCAGGGGCTGAAGAGCACCCCACCTCAGCTGAGAGCACTAGAGCCCAGGGTAGAAATGCATACAACAGCACTCCATGTTCTATTAGGAAGAATATGGAAAGTCATTATAAAAACAGAAAAAAAAATATAAATAAAAGTAATAGTAACACCGCAGAATTTTCACTTAAATATGTCTTGTGTCTTTTCTCCTCCATCAGAAAATTCGGCTTTTTGCCTGTAACACCCAAGGTGTAGCAATAGCTCTATTTTTGCAGAATAAAACAAGAACAGGCTGAATTTTTATTTTTTTTTTAACAGATTCTTGTGCATTGGCATAATGATAGTGCTGCAGGAGGTCTAGGAAAAAATACAAACTGTGGTCAAAAGATCACAAGTTCAGCAGCCCTCAGAAGTTACTTAAAACTTGAGATAATGACTACTGGAGTATATTAATGAGGATGCCTTCACTGGCCTGAAGCTGTCCTTTTTTCTCCTTAATTTCTATCTGGCTTCTCTTCTCCATCTCACACTAGACCCGGGACCACGTGTGAGTGCCATGTGTAGCACCGTCAGCAACATCGCTGCGGACCATATACACACCTTGTCCTGACCCTACATTTTCAGGGATCTGTAATAAATTCAATTTCACAGCAGCTTTACAAGATAGGAAACAAAAGCCCCCGTTTCACCAGGGAGGTAACTAAAGTGCCACAAAAAGCATCGACTTGACAGGCATCACCGGCCACGATGCCCTGATGCAAAACGCCCCATGACACTGCAACTGCTCTTCCTCCCCAGAGATCACACAGCCAGCAAGGTGGCTTCTGAAAGATCCAGGCTCCAAATCACGGCACTAGGGAAAAATTTGAGCCTGGCCTAGATTATAACTGAGAGTGAAAGTTATGGAGGTTTGAGTAAGTTCTGCCTTTGTGGGGATGGAAAGTGACCAGGGGGAGAAGCATTGAGCCTGTCCTTCCTATAACCCCTTTTGGGGTTCTCCAGCTTGCCAGAAGCTTTGTCCACATTAAGCTTCTGTTGGTTTTCCCAGCTTAACTGGAGGAGCTTTTGAAAGCAGAATTATTATCTCAGAGGAGAAAAATATCTCCAAAATGATCCAACCCATCTGTGGGGCAAAACAAAGCAAAGATCTGCAGTCCCAAATGTGCTTCTTGGCAGAAAGCAAATTAAAGGCTCAACCCCTCTCTGCACCGTACGCAGCACCCAGCGGTTCAATTCAGCAGCCACCGCCTGGAGCCTGAACATCCAAATTTCCACCTCCCTTTGCTGTTTAGAGGGCTTTGATCCACTTTTATGTTTTTGGTTTCTTTTGAAGAGAAGGAGTTTGATCAGTGCCCAAGAGAGAACATGCCAGGTCAGCTTCTCACTTAGAGAACCAGTCCCACTTCAGAGGGTGCCCGGATTTCAGAAGATACACCCTGCCAGCAGGAAAGAAAGAAACGCACCCTGTCCTGATCCATGGCAGCAGCACCGCCAATTCCCTTCAATATTTTTGAGGGCTTAATCACCACTGATGGCTAGACAATAACCAGATGCCTAGACAATAACCAGAGATGGACCAAATCTTGGGTGCTCTAAGTTCATTCACTCAATGAAGAGGAAGGCGATAAAAAAAGCAGCAGGAATGAAGTAAAGTTTTTGAATTTGAAAAAAAAAAAAGTGTTTTCTCTTACCTGGTGATTCCTTTGTTCAGATTAAACCATAGCCCACTCGATCCTAGTTGTCCACCAGAGTTAAAGAATCCCTTGCAGGGTGCGTACTTAAGAACATAAGCTCCCCTTGATAAGTTTTAATCCTTAAAGCACATAGAAAGAGAAACCCTAATTCTTCATGGCGTTGTCAGTTGACTGCTGTTAGTGGTTTCCTGTCGACAACAGCTGAATGACAAATCGAACTAGTTTGCTACACTTATAGCAATTAAAGGGCTGGCAGTGTAACCACACGGCTCCTTTAGTGCTGACGTTGGAACGGTGGCTACCTTAGAAGAACTGTTATCCACAAAGGCTCGGCAGGCTATAAAAAGCACTGTCCCTCTTCAGCTGATGCTCCGAACCACTCTCATTCAGGCTGGTGTGAAGGCACCCATGAAGCCCCAGGGTACAAACGCTGGTTTGCAAAGGGGAGGAGAAATACGGGTCCTGAGTTTTCTAGATTGGCCCGTTCACAGCTAAGAGCGCGCTGGGCCAATGGCAGGGATGGAGATATTTATTGCATGCGCTTAACCTTTGGGAGAGTTTATCTCCAGTCAGGTTCTAGTCTGAGCAGTTTCCCCTTTTGTAATCATCTAGGTTACGGTGCCGTAATCTTACTCACTTTCCATTTGAGGTTCTGCTTCTGCTTACAATCTCATCTGAAAGAGAGTGGTCGTGTTTGTCCTCAGAGCTGTTTGTGTCTCAGCCAGCTGATGTCATTAGGGCATGGAAGAAGAGATGCAGGAGACAGATGACAGCACATCCTGTTATCTCTTTATCGCTTCTTTGTAAGATCTCGTACGATCTGCCTTCCCTGTATTTTTTGCCGTTAGCAGCTTGCTATATTGCAAAAAGTTTTTGCCCATCCAGTGCTGATCTGGAGTTGCGGTGGGCAGGGATCTGCTCAGGTCACACCACGCTGGGGTGTTTCACTGCCTGCTGCCTAATGCTGTGAAACGTGATTGTTCTCATTTCCACCCTCACCAGCGGGGTTTCAGACCTTCCAACCTGCCTGGAGGCAAGGAAGCTGATGTGCATCACCTCGTGATTCTGTGGGATTTTGGACAGAGCCTCTGCTGAGTCACGGCAAGGCAGCCCAAGCATTTCCCAGACAGCAGGGATCCTGCCTGGAGCAGGATCTTCAGTGGGCTGTTTATGAACCCCTTCTGTGTTGGGGAGTTACAAATTTATGCAAGAGAAGGTTAAACCCTGGGTCTCAGTTCTGCAGTGTCAGGTAATATCACTGGCTGAGATAACATCCTCTTGCTGATGGCTATCTGGGGTTTGGAGACAGCCTCCAGAATATGGTTTTGTCCAAGTATGGTTCATTCACTAGAATCACAGAAGTACCCAGGTTGGAAGGGACCTTAAAGATCAACCAGATCCAACCTCCTGCCATGGACAGGGATGCCACCCACCAAATCAGGTTGCCCAAGGCCTCACCTAACCTGGCCTCGAACACCTCCAGGGATGGGGCATCCACAGCTTCTCTGGGAAATCTGTGCCAGGGCCCTTCGAGTGAAGAATTTCCTCCTAATCTAAATCTCCCCTCTTTTAGTTTAAAGCCATTCCTATCATAATCTGCCTGAGCAAAAAGTTGTTCTCTCTCTTTTTTATAAACCCTCTTTTAGTATTGAAAAGCCACAATGAAGCTGGAAAAAAAACCCTACAAAGTATAAGAATCTAACAAGAAGTAACGTTTCACTCATTTTCATTTTATTTTAGTTCCTCCAAAATGGGTCAGTTTGGCCCAGAAACCAGAAAAATCAAACCGCTGGGCTGAAAAATGAAAAAAAAAAAGTCAAAAAAAAACAACACTCTGTCTTTCATTTTTGCCCTGAGCTGAAGCTATTGGCTAGATTCAGTTTGTTGTGACACCAAAGGTTGAAGTGAAACTGTGCTATCTGGCCATCAGCTACAAATCCAGGAAATTTCACCCAGTTCTTGCAGGCACTGACTCATACATGGGGAGTGACAAAGACGGGGATGCTGCTGTGCATCTCCTTGGCGGACACCTCCATAGCCCATGACACATCTTGCAGCTCCCGTTGGTCCCTGCAGAGGCTGTTGAGGAGATCCTTGGGGAATTAGGCTGCCTACACCACCTTTCCATGCAGCCCACCACAATCTGTGGCTGTTGTTTCACAGTGAAATTACCTTGGGAATGAACTGGGAAAGGGCCGAATCCTAAGGAGCTCCCCTACCTTCTCCATGTGGGCCCTGTCGACATGGGGCCTCCCTGATCTTTGTTAAGGGCCAGGAGGCCCTGAGGATGGAGCCTTCAGGCCCACTGCTGTGTTGGTGTTGGTTTGTGAGTGCTGTGGTGGTCGTATTTAAATATGTGCCTCTGTCAGACCCCATAATCCCACCACTTTGGGTGTCTGACCCTCGCCAGCTGGCCCGTGGTGGTGCTGGGCCAACATCCCTCCTGTCCAGCAGTGTTTTGGGGGGCTGCCAGGCAGTGGATGTCCCAAATATGTGGGACACACAGCTCTGCACCTCTGCTAGTGACTAAAAAACATCACGGACACATGCAGGAACGTGTGGACACCAGGAAATACCTCACGTCTCCACGTCAAGGACAGCAGGCCTAGAATTCACCACAGTGTCTGAAGCTCAGCATTTAACCCAAGATGGACACGGGTGATTCTGGAAGGTGTCTAATCTAGGGTGAATCATCTCACCCTAAAGCAGTATCTGAGATAGGCTTTCTTCGCCTTTCCCTTCCTTGGCTCAGGAAGCCCTGGCGACAAATTTAGGGTGGACGCAGAACGCTTGAATTGAAGTGTGGGGAGGTGGTGTTCACCCCAAATCCCTCCACTCCCATATTTTTCAGTCAAGATGCCCAGAGGGCATATTACAAAGTAGCCTTACTGGGAATCCAGGTAAGACTGGAAGGGAAATTTTTTATTCCCTAACAGTTCTGGAAATTAATTTACAACAATTAGTTGGGGTGAAAGTGGAACGCACATCCGTCACCCCCTCCCCCCCCCCCCCCCCTTTTTTTCCCCCAGTAAAATAGAAAGATGGAAAAAAACTGCATCTTGGTCCTGAGATTTTAAATGCTTTTTGCTTCTCCGGGTTGCTGCAGTGAACTGGGGTTAGCAGATTCTCAAAGGAAAACCATTACAAATGAGCCACTTCAAATCTTTGGGAAAGGTTATGATTTTCTTTGCAAATGATTTTCAGCTCTTCAGGGCTTAGGGACTTTTTTTGGAGTCGAGGAGAAGAATAATTTGCGAACTTAACGCATACATTTACAAAGCCAGTGCTGCAGTTTCCACATCGATTTTTTTTTTTTTTTTTAAGTGATAGAAAACAGCTGGGCTCCAGCCCTTCCATGACAGTGGTGAAATGCAGTTGGAAGGGGCAAACAGCAAACATCTGGGAGTGAAACCCAAATTAGACTGGGCCTTCTGTGCAGAGGTCCCCAGTTAAGCTCTCGTGGTGTCTTGCACTGGTTCCCCTGTGGTGACCAGGGGACAGCATTAACTGGAGACCTGCTGCCCTCTGTAGGTGCCTCTGTCACATTTTCAGGTTGACAAGCACCCAGATGGCCCTCCAGTCATCTCAGGGGGCTGTCCTGGTACAAGCACCCATGTGGGGAGTGGAGACTTCTTGCTAGGTTTGGGGTGGTTGGAGCACCACAGCCTCCTCTCCCCATCCCAGTCCTGGCACGTTGAGTCCTTCGCCTTGGGGAAAAGGCATTTATTTGGTGACCAACCAAGAAGCAACCATCGATGCTCCCAGCATGTGGTCCTACAAAATGGCCATGCTCCCCTGCTGGCATGCCCAGCTCCTCCGTGCTTTGTTAGCAGGATGCCTACAAGAAAAATGACCCCAAACCTAAAAGTCAGGGCAAGAAGTAGATGTTTCAAATCCTATCCACCCTGAACTGCTCCTGTTATGGAAGAGGAATGGCCATTTCTGCCTGCTGGTGACACAGAGGAAGCTCAGAGGATCCAGGTGATATTTGGCTGGGTATAGGGCACAGCTACCTTATGGGACCATGGTAAGCACAGGATATGTCCCCAAAAAAGCCTGCAGGGAATTGCTCTTGCAGCAGGCAATTGCCAGCTTGGACTTTGCAAAACCACATCCCAGCAAGGATCCAGGCCTGTATCAAGGTGTTCCCAGGGGTCCAAGTGTCCTCCAGAAAAAGTGCTGTGCCCAGGGATGCTGAAGGACGTAGCTCTGGAGGCTGGCTGCTTTTGCAGCTCTGAGTGCAACAGAGGGCTCTCTGTATCTGAGCAAAATAATAAAAAAATAAAATAATAAAATACTGAACTATACATATAGACAGCATTAGTGTTCTACAGATTTATTTTGAGTTATTACACCTAATTTCAGGTGCTTGTGCAGGCAGTTGGGGTTAGAGCCTCATCATGGACAGTGCTTTGGTGGAAGGAGAGGCTCAGCTCCCACCACACGTCCTTTGGGTGAAGACAACTTAAATGAGAGAAATTCAGGCCAAAAACATTCATAACCCAAAAAGCGACTTCAGAGGGACCTCGCTCCAGCCTTTCACTGGTGTCTTATGGCAGCTCATTCGAAATCCATTACACAACTAAATTAAAAATAAACATTTACAGAAGAGGGAGCAGGGGCCGTGTGTGGTCTGTTACGGCAACGATAGAGACGTCCAGCCTTGGTGGCGACACCTCCGCTGGTAAACTAACCCTCTGCAGACCTGGACCCTGGTCTTGAGGCCAGCTGACCTTGTCTGGCCACGTCGTGCAATTAAATGCTCTTGGCTATCAAAATTGGGTGGCCGCATCCAAATTGTCTGCCAGGAAGGGGCCCTGGGCTTGCTAATTCCTGGTCAAAACCACATATCCATGCCCATGCCCTGATATCGTTTGGTTCGTGGTCAGAGCCACATTTTTGTTTTGATGAGATGTTGCAGGAAATGTGGAGCCACCCGTTTGCTGCTAAGCGTTTAAACGCAGCTGCAGGGCTGCATCAGCAGGTCTGAGCAGCGAGGGAACAGCTCTCACATCTCCCTGGTCCCTCCTCACCACCAGCAGTCCCAGGAAGGGTGGGTGCAAGCCGTCAGCACGGCTTTGAGGGCTGATCACCAGGCAGCTTGCGTATGCACATCTGAAAATTGACAAAAAGGGTGCTGTCCAAGCAAAAAAAAACAAATAAATAAAATATTAAATTTACATCAGAAATGTGAAAATGCTGCTCTTCGCTCTTTGAAGTCTGCAGTGCTGCATCTCGCAGGGTGCCTCGTGCTTGGTGCTGTACAAACACAGCCTCTAAACTGGGGGGGGGGGTTGTGGGGCACCCCAGGTTTGGTACTTAAATGGGGTCATTGGGATGCAGGGCTCAGGAAAAGGGCTGTAAATCAGCCCCTGAAGCCCTGGGGGAGAGGGGCAGGGTGAAGAAAAAAAGCAGGAGGCTGGATGTGGGAAGAGGCCTGGGTGATTAGGTGTCCGTGGCCAGCGCTTAACCCTTCGCACCACCGGATTCACAATCCCGGCCCGCGGACCTGAGACACCAAATGTGCCACAGCTGCACCTGGTGACGGCTGGGGGGCTGCTTTCCAGTGCCACCCCCAGGTTTTGTGGGGTTAATCCTTAACCCCTGGGGAAAGAAGGAAAGCCTGGGTCCCCACATTACCCAGCAGATGGGCTCCTGCCTCTCTCGGAGGCAATTAAGACTGGGGGAGATGTGGGAGCCACAGGCTCTTTTCCAGTATAGCAGACAGGCAACAACCAGTTTAAGCGCTGCTTTCTGGATGGTGCCAGCCACGGTGCCCCAAGATACCCACCCCAGGGCTTCCCGGAGATGTTTCCCAGCCTTGCCAAACCGTCCCTGTCCCTCTTTGCCTTCCGCATGCCTGCTGACCTCTGGGCAAGCCGTGGCATCTGGAAAATGTTATCCCCAGACGAGTGCCGGAGGTCCCCGGGCTCTGTGGAGAAGCGCTCACATCTCTCCATGGTGCGTAATGGGAACAGCCACGGGGACAGCAGCCACAGGCTCTCCGGGCATCTCCTGTGAATTTTTGGGGTCCCTTCATCCCCTGTAGCATCCCTATCCCTCCTCCCTCATCTGGGTGCCGTTGTCGGAGGATGTCTAGGACCCGGGCTGCGCGGCTCCTCCCTTTCAGGTCTCTCCAGGGTTATTGCTTGGTGGGAGGTAGGTTCAGGGCTTGGTGGTATGAATGAAAGAGAGACAGGAAATCTGGACTGAAAAGCTCAAACTGGAATAGCTCGCCTGTCTCCAGGCAACAGGCCTGACGCAACCGCTGGGGAGAAAAAAAAAAAAAAAAAAAAAGTCCCTTAAATAAGGAAAAAAAAAAAAAACAACAGAGAGAGATTTCTGAAGCGAGACAGGGAGGAGGATGAGACAGTCTGCTGAAGGCACTGGTGACACTGCTCTGCAAACACCAAGTTGGAGACCCGAGGCGGAAGGAGGGAGCCAAGATGTCCGTGCAGCATTCCCGCTGAGTCCCTCCCCGGTGAGTTGGGTGCTGGTGCTGGGGCTGGGGAGGACCCCACGGACCCCCCTCTGCACCCAGGGCTGCAGCCACCCAGGACAGGAGACCCCTGGGTTTGGTTGCCCTGTGGAAAGGGGAGCAGCAAGGGCCAGGTGCTTGGGGAGGGAGCGGTGGGGTGGGGGCGATGGGGACCCCAAGGCACCGCCAAGTTCAGCGTGCATGCTCCTACATGGGGGATTTGGGGTTTGCTTCCCCCCCCCCTCCACCATCTCCTGCTTGGACAAAAATCCACGGAGATGGCCAGGCTTGCAGCACCCTGATGGTTGAGACCAGCTGGAAATCAGGGCAGGGTCTGCGTTGCCCCCCTTTGCAGCGAGGTTTGTGGATGTTGCTTTCAGCTGGGAGAGCTGTGGGGGCACTCACCACCTCCTGTGGGGGGATTTTTCGGGGTGTAACAGGGAAAAATGTGGCTCTGGTTTGGGATGATCACCTGTTGCTCCCTCTGCCCCCTCCCCGAGATTTGCGAGAGCCCCGGGGAGGTCTGTGCAGGGCAGGCACCATGGGATAAAGCCTGGTGGCCTCGCAGGGCGTAGCTGCCTCCGGGTTTTGAAGCAGGCACCGCGTCGAGCAGAGCAGGTTTCCACCTGCTCAGGTCTGGCCCTTGCAGCTCATCTTAATGATAAAGAAAACAACAAAAAAAAATCATCCAGAACTTCTCCCTTTATAACAGCTTGGGGCTAATTACTAAAAGAACAGGGTCGTCCTGCACCCCTCCCAGCACGGGCACAGCCCTGCACGAGCCGGGCACCCCCGGCACAAAAGCGCACGGTGCAGCTGATCCGTTCCCCAAATTGGCACCCGCGCAGGGCTGGGGGATCCTCCCTATTTCCCTGGGATGCTCCCTGGATTATGCACCCCCGCTTCACCCCCGGGAGCTTTTCTACATTAGGAAGCTTGCTAAAAAGGGATGGAAATGAAGGAAAACCCGGTGCCTTGTTTCCAGTGAGGAGCTGTGTCCGGCTGGTACCACGTCGCCGCGGCTTTGTCCGCCCGTTGCCGCTATCCTATGGGTTCCCCCACTTCTCGGTGGGAACAAGCTGTGGGTTTGCCCTCCACCAGCCATCCTTTCAGCACACTGGTGCCATCGCTGTCATCTGCATCTCAGGTCTCCTCTGCTTTCCCGTGTGCACCTCTTGGGAGGGCTGAGAACGACACAAAAATGAAGCGGAGAGGGAAGGAAGGAGCCTGCAACAGCTCTGCGGCCATTCGGGGTTTGCAAAACCTAGCAGAGACACTGCAGGAAAAAAAAAGGGAAAAAAATAAATAAAAACCAGCCACGGAGTAATTCAGCCTTTCTGGGAAGAGGGAGTGGGGGTCTGTGAGCAGCTCACCTTAAATAATATTAAATAGCAAAGTAGGGATCTGCTCAGCGCTGCAAGCGCCTGGGAGGAGGCAGGTCTGAGCGCAGTGCTTGGTGCTCGGCGGCTGCTAAGGCGAGTAATTGGATGGGACAGGGAGCACGAAAAGGGGATTAGGGGGTTGCCAGGGGGGCGATCCTGCCTCCTGATCGCTTTAATTTGGAGTCAAACGGGAGCTGGTCCTGGCACTGTATCTGCAGGGGGTGAGCTCGGTGCTGGGCAGAATGAAGAAAATCTCTCCCCAGAAAAAAATTGTTGTTTTTTGTTTAATTATTTTTTTATTTTTTTCCCCTGAAATCATACCCTTCTGCCTGCTGCCTTCCATGTTGCATTGAGGGAAAAATACCTCTGTGTGCCAGTCTCCTGGGAAGGGAGCATTTCCCAGCTTGATCCGGCTCCTTCCCAAGGAGTCGCAGCCTTTCGCCTCTCCCCTGCTGCACTGGCACAGAGGTCCCTGCCCTCTCCAGCTGCTCTTTCCCTTGGTGAAACACAGCTGGGTTTGGGGGTGGACAGCGGTGAAAATTAAGGAAAGAGGCTCTGCCAAGCCACAGGTCCTTTGAGAACATATTTGGGAGCCAGGATTAGGTCCCAAGATAAAAAAAAAAAAAGTTGCCTTAGCTGTTGCTGCTCAATCCCTTTCCCTCTAAGAACGATTTTACCTTGCTTTGGGTGATGGGCTGGCAGTCAGCATCACCCCCCCTGCTTTCCATGAAGGCTTCCCAGTCTGCAAATGCTTCCCACTCATCACCAGCAGACTGGTTTGCAGGAATGCCAAACATCTGGCACAGCCCGGGCCATCTTCGTGCTGGGTTTTCACCCGACCGCTGGAAATCTGCTGATGGAGGGGAACTGGGCTGCTCTGGAGATGGAGCTGCCAGGGCCCATCTAAAGCAGGCAGCAATCTCCGTCCTCCTGCCTCGAAAGCAGCCTGCTGGGTTTTGTCGGGGGGTGCAGGAGGGGCACAGTGCAGCAGGGATCCAGGGGATGGATGTGTTTGTTGGGGCAGGTTCTGAAACTACTGCTGGCACTGGAGGGAAATGCCCTAGGGCGAGCGAGTCCCCTCTTTTCTTCCCATTTTTAATCCTCTTGCCAGGCTGAGGGATCGGCTGCAGCCCCCCACTGCTCCCCCTTACTCCTTCCTTGCATTTGGGGCTATTTCTGGGGGGTCATTAGGGTGGAAGGGTGAATCCTCAGGGTGATTCCTCACCCCGCTGCAGGTCGTGCATGAGTGGAAACCCCACGTCTTGCCTCTTGCCCCCATTTATCCGCCAATGCCAAATCCACACCCGAAGGGCTGAAGCAGCAGGATGGGCTGCCTCTCCGCTGCTGACCATAATATCTGAGCTGCCTGGGAGGTCTTTTGGGGTTTGTTCATGGTGGTAAATGCATAGGAATACCCAGGAGCACCCAGGATCCCATTAAACTCTACCAGTGTCTCAACTCATTATATGGGGTAGCTCTGGAACCCCCTCTCCAAACCCTGCATCAGCCCAAGGACATAGATGTGGTCTTCTCCCTAGGTTGGAGGTGGGTCTCTGCGTGAAAAGGGATGAGGCTAACGTGGGCATCAGAGCCACCAGACCCGTGCTCATGCTTGGTGTCCCCATCTTGCTGCTGGAAGAGGGGCCAAGCCCACAGATTTTTGGCCAGGGGGTCTCCACGTGCAGCCCATCCTCACCCCAACCGTGCCGGGCAGGTGCTGAGCACCCTCAGATGATAACACCAATTCCAGCGGGGGCTCACACCCAGAGGGAGTCCTGGCTTCAGGATCAGGCTGATCTCCAGGCTGCTGGCATCTCCTCCTGCTTGGGGGAAGGAGGCTGGAGGTCGCCTCAGGACAGGCAAGAAAGGGAACCAGATTTTTTTTTCCTGCAGGAGCAGATTTCAGGGAGCTGCCAAATCCTGGATAACACAACCTGGGGAAAATTTCTCCCCTCCCAGCCTGTGGGGCAGCTGGGGAGAGGTTTGCTGCCTGCAGCGGCCTCACTGCTGGATCCTCGGTGCCCGTGCTGCCCGGAGGATGCTCGGAGCCTCCATCCAGCGCCGAGCAGCAGCCGGGGTCCTCCTGCCTCCATTGCTATGGCAACCCCGCTGCACAGGCGTCTCCTCCTCGCTCCCAACCTGCTGCAGACCGACGGGGGGGCTGCCACCCTCACCCCATCCCCAGATTTTTGGGGGACGCAAGCGCCGCTCTCTCGCCCCATGGGGCACGGGAGGCTGGCTCTCACCCCCTCTTTTCTTCCTGATGTTGCACCTGCAGGCTCCTCATCACCCAAACAGACCCGCAGGGATGGGGGATGGCGTTGGCAGGTGCAATTTTTATCAGGGTTTTTTCTTGTAGGGTTAAGGGGGGTCTGCATGGCCCCGCTGGAGTGAGTGCCTGCAAACTGAACTGCGTCCCAAGCTCCACGGGTCCTATAGGGCATCCCTGCACCGATCACAGTCAGGGCATGGGAATCCAGATGGGATGGAGACAGCCAAAAATACAGGAGGTGAAACCCTGCACATCTCTGAAGATCCCCAGAGCTTTTTTCCCAGCTGCACAAACTGCCCAGTTGGTGAGAGGGAAACTGAGGCATAAATGGCACTAATATGCATTTTGAAGGTCGTTAACATCCAAGCCCCGTCTGACACATGGCACAGGTGTTATCCATGGGCCATGCGGGCACCCCTGCATCCCACCAAAAGACTTCTCCCAGCCTGGGCTCTGTCCCACACCGAGGGTTTTTGTTTTCTTCTCAAGGACCAGACGAGCAGATTAATGTAGACTCCTAAAATCACTGCTGCTTCTCTGCAATAAAAGCTGCTATCACTGCAAGCTGATGTCCACCAGGGACAGTGAAGAGAACTGAATAATTTTTTCTCTATACCTGTCTTGGCTGATTGCTTTATTTATTCTGTGGATTTTTTTTTTTCCTCCAATTTTCATCCTCACTGTTTCTCCCCCGCTCTCTTTTTTCTTCTCCTAGACCTTTTGCTCTCCAGCATGTGACCTTCCAAAGCACTGAGTGCCCCTCTTTATAGCCCTGAATTTAACAGCCTGTGAATGCCTGCTGCATGAAAACCTCACATTCAAAGCAGACCAAGACATCATTTCATGTGATCTCCCATTTGACCATGAATAGCATCTGAGTCGCGGTGTTACCCACCGCTAGTGGTGAGAAAGCGAAGCTTCTCTCCCACCCCACTCCACCTGCCCCTGCCTCCTGTTGCCTACACCATCTCCCCTGCTTGCTCAGGAGACGTTCATGTGGTTCTCCTGCTATTTATTCATGGATTAATCCACAAGCAGGGATGTCAGGGTGTGTGATGGGGACAGGTCTGCTGCTTCTGCTCTGGGGATGGAGGAATTTCTGCAGTGGGAAGCTGCAGTGGCCAGTTGTGCCGCTGGACCTGGTTCCTTAGAGCACAGGATTCCCCACAAGGTGTGTCTGGTGTGTCGGGGTTTGCTTTGCTGGCTTGCAAATGTGCAAAAGCCAAGCCTCAGGGCACGCCAGCGAGCCTTGGCTTGGCAGGACTTCACAACCAAGGCAGTTTGGTAGTCCTGTGATTTCTCCATCCGTTCGCGCGCTACTGCTAATCCCTTTGGATGACAGCTTGCAGGGTGGGTCAATTAAGCTGTTTTTTCCATGGAAGCCTAACCCAATGAAGAAATTACCGGCGTTTTGTTGACTCGGTGACCTGATGTGTCCTGCATCTTCAGAACTGATAGCTTTCCTGCAAGGAAAGGAGAAAACCCTTTGGGTTTTGATCACCATTTTGGTGCCAACCTCCTGTTACCCCTCATTCAGCATGGCATGAACCCACCAAGACTGCCAAGTGTGATAAGGAAGACAAGTCAAGGATCAACCACCTCAATTTCAGGCCAGCCTAGAGGAAAACTGAGCCTGGGACAGGAAGGCTGGGAGAAGTTTGTTGGTTTGAGCCAGAGGCCAGGTTTGGCCCTGGGAATTATCTCACTGGGGGGTAATAAAAAAGGCTGGATTACAGCCTTGCACACAGACATTTTTTGCATGCTTACCACTTCCAGATCTTTTTTTTCTGCATCAGGTATTTCACCCAAGTCCAAGATATTGATAGGAAATTAGAGGTGGCTCCTTCCTGTCGTTTTTGAGTTTGGAAAGGCTGGAGGACAGACATGCTTATTTAGGGGGATGCCCATGGGATGAACGAGGGGCTTGGTGTTACAGCTGGGAGGTGAAGGGTGGGCTGGAATGGTGCCACATGCAGGGCAAAAAAATCCCTCAGCAGGTACTGGGAGGTGGAGATCTGTGCTGGAGACATAAGACAAAAGAGTTTGCGGGGGCTCTGCTTTGTAGGTGCAATGTTTGGCGACGTCAGCCTTATAATAAAGGTGTTTTCTCTGTTAGGGGATACCAAATCCAGCAGCACAGTGCGTTCAACTCTATCAGACAGCTGGATTCTGCCACCTCTCGCTATCCCCACCTCAGTGGAGGCAAAAAACATTCAGACAAGGTCTTCAAAGTCGTTAGTGTTTCCCGTTATTGATGTCAGTGGGCTAGAATATGCTGCTGGAGCAAAATTCATTAACGTGCCCTCAGCTCTGCAGAGCATCAGTGCAAGAGCTGGTGCATGGCCTGACTCTCCAAACAGGCAGCCCTCGGCTCTCCCCTCCATACAATCTATTTTTTCAGCAGAAGAAGGAAAACTGTTGTTGCTCCAGGCATAAGAGCACTTGGCTTCAACCTGATGTAGTATCTGGGCTTGCTCCCGCTCACCGTAAAACTCTCATTAACATAAATCGGAGCAGGAACAAGACCGCAACATGACTAATTCTCCACCCCCAGACTGTCTGTGTGTATATTATCAGCTACTCATTCAGCCCATGTGCCTCCACGCAATTGTAGGATAAATCTTGCTCTCTGTTGGTGTTTATTTTAAATTGAATCTTCTTACTGAAAAGGTTTGAGAGGCGTAATTATGGTCTGGATTTCAGAGCTGCACACGTCTTTGTGGGCACAAATAGCAGGGAGAAGAATGGCTGAGTAACTCATATTGCTGCGTTTCAGTGCATCCAGCTAGAAAGCTGCATACGTCCCGGCTGGTCTTTCTGGGCATGTTACCAGGCAGGCAAAAAGTATTTTGTTTTGCGTTCGACGTGTAAACGAGAGCTCTGGATCTATTCCTAGCTCAGCCACAGATGAGCATATGACCTTGAGAAAGTCTCTTATCTGATCCTACCTCAAATGAATGCAGAAGCTGCCTGAGCTTAACTCTTGCAGAGTTTTTCGAGCTCTCTGTCCCACAGAGGAAGGTTTGGTCGGCCAAGCTGTGGTCCACCGGTGGTGTAAGGAGGAGAAGCTGGGAAGAAAGCTCCTGGCTCCTCGGTGCTGGTGCTCGTTGTCCTGGACACCATCCGGGCACAGCTCAGGAGCTAGCAAGGGTGAGGGATCGCTGCCAGGAGGCAAACTGGAGCTGGCCAGTGATGGAAACCACCAGCCCAGATCTCTCTTAGTGCAGGCATCCAAACCCAAGCTGTGCCAGTGCTCTGGTTACTCCCCAAACTGGCCAGGGGCTTTGCTCCTGCCTGAAGCTCACTGGATGGGTGGAAGCTGAATCTTACAGCTGGAAATTGGCATCTTTAGCAAGCCTAGATCTAAGTGCAACCCCCTAAAACTGGGCAAGAAAACAAATGAACAATACATATATATATATTTTTATCTCTCCTTTGAGCTCAAACTTTTGGGAAAAGGTTGCATTGTCCTATATCATCTGTCCCTTTTTCACTTAAGTGATGTAGGACTGCCAGCTGGGGAGGCAGCAGGATGGTGCCCAGTCATCCTGACCCCCAGCAATAGCCAGAGGACGTCGGGTTGTGTGACACAGCCTCAGAAGGGTCTGTCAATGTTTCCCGGCCTCATCAGCAACCTTATCACGGCCCCTTAAAATCGAAGGTGCACGTAACCAGAGCTTCCCAAAAAGCCTGTCTGTTCCTGCCCCAAAAGCAAGGCAGAGAGCTGGGATGAGGTAACACTCCCCGGGAGCACCTTGGCACCCTGCCTTTCCCAAAGCCCACGCGCTGCAAGAGCTGCCTCTCCCTCCTCGCTCCCTTTTCCTTCTCAAAGTGGAAACCAACCACCCTCTGCTTCTCTTCTAGGTGTCTGTCCAGCCTCGGCGTAGTGCCTGAGTGGGATTTATCCTTGGAGGAGGCACGTTGGGCTCATTGCAGTGAGCTGGTCTGGTCTTGAGGGCTTCCCACCCTTGTCCCTGACCCGTGGGAGCCCACCCCTATGCCGTTGGACTCCCGGGAAGGATGTCTCTGCCTAAAATCCAAATAGAAGAGGTGGTGGACAGCACGGATGGCGGCTCTGGAGGTGCCGTTCCTCCTGATGACCACCTGAGGAGCCTCAAGGCTTTGACAGAGAAGCTGAGGCTGGAAACCAGGCGCCCGTCCTACTTGGAGTGGAAGGCGAAGCTGGAGGAGCAGGCGTGGAAGAGCCCCCAGCCGGCTGGTGAGGAGGACGGGAATGAGGCCAAAAAGGGCCTGGAGGAGACTGTCCCTCTGAGGAAGGTGCAGCTGCACCTCAACGGGAACCCTGCCCAGGACAAGGTGACTCTTACCTCAGGGAAAATAGGCGGCTTTGAGAGCATCGACGAGGCTTTGACGTGGCTCCGGAAGGAACTGGTAAGTGGTTTCCTGCCCCTGGTAGATAGCAGTCTTTATTTTCAAGAGAAAAGAAGGAGGGGGAAACAAGAAGCTCCTTGTTCCCACCTGCCTTCAGCCCCGGGTGAAAAAGCAACCTGCAGTCATTGCATGGCTGGCAGGAGCAACCCAGGGAAGGGAAAGGTGAATGACAGAGAGCCCATGGCCTTGGAGAAGGAGCCAGGTCCATCTCAGAGTCCTTGCTGGGATCCAGCAGGCCAAAGAAATACAGCAAGTTGAGTTTTAGCAGTTTGTTCCATCTCCTGCTTCTTTAATTGTGCCTCAGGCAAATACAGCTTGAATACATTGCCCTTGCTGAATTTACCCATTCTGGATTTACCCTTGCTGCCTGTGGCCATCAGTGGTTTAGGAGCTCCCTCAGTGGGACGTTGCACACTGATCACCATTTAACAAGCATTAGCAGATGTAACTTCCAAGTGATTGCCCAATTCCCCCTTTTTCTTTCCTTTTAATTAATTAATTAATTAATTAATTAAAATATTCTGTAAGTCTTGTGGTAACCATCTTTCCCCAAATCATTTCTGCACTGCGGGACAATGGCAGAGCCTGACCGCAGACCCTTCCTCAGCCAGCTCTCACAGGTTCATCACCTGTCGAGTTCTCCTTCGTTAGACACTGGCCCACATTTCTGTCATCCTCCTGGCTCAGACACACACCCCATCTAACACATATCTTTATTTCTGGTTGATACAAGCCACCAGGAGGAAGGACTGGAGACCTTCTGCTTTCCCAAAGCAAGGGGAGGACATGACAGGCAGGCCAGGCCTATGCACAGTCTTCATTGACCTGCTCCATGCAGTTCATCAGGAAGGAAAAATGCTGCTAACCGTGTTTCACAGAGAAGAAGACAAGATATAAACTCTACACATAAGTTAGGAAAATAACTAGAGTGAGGGCGAGGGCACTGGAAGCTCAGCTTTCATGTGCTGTGCTGCCGTCGTGGTCCTAGGCCCGGCCTGCCAGCACTGACCCAAGCAGCTCCCAGCCCAGCTCAGGAATCAGCGTGTCCAGGGGATAATTCCCTTCAAGAAACATAGGTGTATCTTTTATGGAGCCAGGGAATGCCAAGAGGATGGATGGTGGGACAGGGACAGCCGTTTTGGGGGTTGGAGAGTGGGCACACGAGTAGGAGCAAGCGGAGACAGATGGCACTTCCCAGCAATCCTTCCCCTCTGGACTGAAAATGAAAATGGAAGGAAAAAAAATCCTTATTATTTGGCCCACGTGGCTGGAAACTAGATACAACTGATGTCACGGGACGCTGTTTCTGTTGCCAAATTGGGTGTTTGCCTTGTGATTGCCAACAGCATTTGCAACTGTTTGGACGGCAGCACTGTTTGCAACGGGGTCCCTGAGGGCTGCAAAAGCACGTGTGGTTCAGACACGATCGTGAAAATGTTCCTGGGCAAAACCTTTGCTTTTGATAAGCACCAAAAGTCTTTGAGGAAAGCTGCTCATGCAGACCAGTGAATAATATATTTTTTTTTAAAGTCCCTGCGACTTCTGTGCCAAAGAATATTTATTCAACAAATTTTTTGTTGTTCTTGCTGTACTTGCCAACTGGATTGATCTCTAAAGGAGTTATTTACAGAAGTGGTCTTGAAAATCAGTTTTGGTGGCTGAGATGTGTCTCAGGACCATAGCTCTTGGAAAACAAGAGCAGCACTTTCAGAAATCCGGGACTATTACAAAGAGTTTTGAGTTGATCTCCTAAAATCACTCGGTGCTCTGGAGAATATCAGCTCCTGATCTCAGAGCTGAACCTGGGTCCATGCTTGCATCTGTGATGAATTCTCATAGTCACAGAGGCCTTGATGTAAAACCCAAGTCTCAAGATGCCCAAAGACAGTAAGGAACAGTTTCTTCTTTCTTAAAGACCCAGATTTTAATGGGTTTGGTTTGTTCTTGGTCTCCTGCCCAAAGTATAAATTGTCTTAAGAGTCTACCCTTTAGACTAGGGTGTGGTATATAAACCCTCATCTGATGAAAATTAAAAGTTTAAATTAAGGAAGAAAAAGGGCAAAGCAAACCCTAATTGTTCCTCACTTTCCATTTTCCTGTCTCTTAATTATACCAGTCTTTACTGGATCTGGACGTGACTCATGTAATTTAGAACAATTTCCCCAAAAGACAGAGCATGTATTTGACTGACCACACAGCTTAATAGCTATGTTGGAGGCACTATTGCTGGGTTGGAGCTGCCAGCGAACAGTGAGAACACAGCAAGGCCATGGCTTCACAGGGTGCTGGAACAAAAAGATGCATTTCACATTGCATTTCAAGGATGAAGCCCGGTTTCTTTTGAAATAAACGAACCAGCTTCCTTTCATCCCAACACAGCCGGGATTTTTCCTTGTTTACCAGCATTTAATGATGGCAAAGTGAACAGGGGGATTTAAGAACAAGGAATGGCTATGGTTTTGTAGAGCTTCTACATCTGCTTAAGGCAGGATCCAAGGCCAGAAAGTGCAGCATCCTTCAGACAACAGCCTGCTCAGGGCAGACAGGCAGGGCTCCAGCACCCATCCCTCAGTTATGGTTGCCCTCAGTGGGTGATAAATCCTTCTGGTCTGGTTTAACGTCAGAGACCACAGACCTGGACACAGCACCAGCCCTGCCACAAGCAGCCTGGTGAAAACACAGCTGCAGAGCATAGCAGGAGGGAGCACATCTACCTCAGCACCAACACTGCCAGGGCTCTTTCCTGAGCTGCGGCTCCCTGGTAACTCGCAAACCAAGCCTAGAGCTGCTTGGGGCACTGCTGGTTTTTGGAGTCAAAGCTGTGCCAGGAGGCACGCTGATAATGTATGAGATGATGACCAAGGCTCTGGCCCTGCTTGCTCTACCATTACAATCAGAATCAACATGAGCATCTGGGCAGCTTTCTGAACGGCATCCAAAAATGATCCATGTCATAACTCGTGGGAAATCTGCTTCTGCCATGCCGTCCTCCATCGCAGGCTGAATTCTCCCTCACTCTATGCAGTCCAAGAGGAGTCAATTTAGATTATTCTAAATTAGTTCATCCAGCCAATGAACGGGCAAAAGCAGTGTGTGCCCAGGACGCAGGTACACCACTGCTTGTGCCCTTACAGAACAAAATGAAGCAGAGCAAAGCACAGCTGCATCGCTCACACTGTTCAAACCTCACCACAGCTCCCAGCACGTTTAGGCGGGGCTGTTTCATTAGCATGGCCTAGCAAGGTTTTGGCTTGTACCATGAGCACCCTGCCAAACCGTTAGAGCTTCGGGAGCTTGCACATGCAGCAGACCGTCCCCAGCAAGCGGTTTGTGTTGTAACACCCAGGTCTGGAAGCAAAGTGAGTTTAGTTGCACGTGCATGCCCAGATTTCCTCTTAGCCGTGGTGTTACAAGTATAGCTGCCTGCTAAACCTGAAGCATTACTTCCAGTTCCCAAAATAGAGGTCATCCAACGCTGCAGGGAATTTGTCCCTGTGTGTCCAGAATCTGCTCTGGTTCGGGTTCAGCCAGGTCCAGGCTTCTCACGGTCAGAAGGGAAGCCAAGGACAAGCCCAAGGTCTTACTGTGCATCTGCTGCTCGTGATCTTTCTCCCCAGGTGACCAGACCTGGGACCTGATTCTGCACCTTGCACGCGAAGGCCTGGCCCCATTTTTTAGGTCTGCATATGCCCACTGAGCTCCAGCCAGCCACGTCAGCTGGGACCTGCTGAGAATCTGGCCTTGGGAAGCTGATTTATTCAGACATGCAAATTCCTGCTCTTGTTTTTGTGCTGCGAGGCTCTGTGTAGGTGTACGAGCAAATTGCAGCACTCAGCATGTGTTGAACCGCCTGGGGGCTGGAACATTTCCCTTCCTAACTCCTCCTGTCTCCTCTTTGCCTCTGTGCTGTCAAATGTGTCTGCTTATCATCAACACTGAAAGTAAGACTGCCACCAGCCAGGGTATGGTGAAAGACCCAGGGATCGGAGTGGTCAGGCTCTATTTTCTGCTTTGTTTTTGGCCTGTCAAGACAAATTTTTACAAGTTCTAAAACTGAGCCTTCAAAGTGCTTTTTTTTTCCCTAAATGTGTGGCAAGTAATTAAAGGACAAAACTCCACCACAAACTGGGATGCCTTCGGACAGTAATGACAGTGGCGTGGTAGGAAAGCGTGTTTTCCTTCTCAAATTCACCAATATTTTTGCACTGAAATCAGAGGCATGTGAGCCAGTATGCAGGAAAGATTTTTGAAAAGGGACCTGAAAGTCAGGTGCTCTCTCCATTGGTGTCTCCACTTCAGATCAATTTGTCTTCCTCATCAAGAGCAATAGGACTCAGCAACATGCTTTACAAAGCTCCTGCTATTATTTCTATTTTTGACACTGATATTGGTTGAGCAAGTACTTAGGTGATTTTAAATGTCGATGTGGCACCAAATCACTGTTGTCATGAGCACCATTCCAGATTGCTGTGTGATTTTTGGGAGGTGGCGGAGAAAGAGGAGGAATCTAGAGGATGGATGTAGTGATGGAGTGGCTTGTGTTAGAAATCTGCTATATAACAGGTCCAGGAAGGTCCAGGAAGGATTTTTCCATATTTGTAATTCAAGCAGTGAAAGGACTTGTGCACATGCACTGAAGCAGTGCCATCGTTACTTCTAAATTGCTGGAATTTGGGCACTTTGAGGCATTTAGACAGAGCAAAACCATCCTCAGGGGGCAGTTTGGGTGCAACCATTCTTTTTAGAGAGTGGTGGGTTTTCATGGGGTGGATGTGGGTCTGTGCACATGGCAGAGATGGAACTGCAGCCTCTCTAAGTCCATATGTAAGTCCTTCTCTTTGCCTCATTTGGATGCTGAGCAACCAGGATTTTCCTCTGGCTGTGGGCTTTCTCCCAGACATACCATTACCAGTCCTGGATGCATTTTAGTGCCACTTAATTCAACAAAAAGCAGAGGTAACTATGTCCCTCAGGAAAGGTAAGATGAAGATTCTGAGGGACTCTACACAGTCTAAACCCAATACTGAAGAAAGGTATTTGTGACCCATGCCAGGCCCTACATGTGTTAGCTAAAGCATCTGGGCTTGATTTGGGGTTGTGTAACCCACAGGCATCACAAAAACACCTTGTTTTGGGCTGTGGGTTGCACCACAAGGGTGTGAGCATCTAAAATTAGCCGCAGCAGGGTGGCATCCGAGCACCTTTGAAGATGAAGCCTCAAACCTAAACACAGACATACCCGACTTCTCTGAAGTGTTTGGCAAGGGTCTGGTGGCTGGGCTGCGCTTGGATCCAAGTGGCTGCACCCAGTTTCACTTTCTTTTGATCTTTTAGAAATAAAAAGTGCGAACCCTGGGGAAGCAATCACTTCTCCGCAGATCACCACCCCGAGCTTCATGGAGCACAGGTTGGGACCCTGACTGTGCTCCTTTCCAAAAGAGATCCTTAATCACTTCTCCTGTGCTATCTCCTCATGGTGCACATAGTCCTTCAGCCAGCCACTACCAGGCTTTGTCCCTCGTCCATCCATTTTGCTGTCCTGGAGGGCAGAAGAGGACTTTATTTCCCTGGGAAAACGTGCACATTGACAGCTCATCCCTGCTTACCTGCAAAGCCCCAGAGCACAGCCTGCAAGGGCTGGGTCTAGGACAATAATTTCTGCCCAGCCGGGCTGGTTCAGCAAATGCCAGGGGTGCCAGGTATGGTGTAAGTAAGGAACGGAGACCAGAGGTTGAGCACCTGAAGGACAAAGCTGGGAATCTGCTCCCCACAACCCAGACAGCTTTGTCTGTGAACTTGCACAAAAGCAAAATGGTTTCTTAGAAAAGCATCGAAAGCAAGAACGGGTCAAAAAGAGGGAAATTGGCTTGCAGGAGGGAAATGGCAATCTCCAAGTCCATTCCCTCTCCACAAAGGTCTCCTAATTCATTTTCTAAACCTTTTTTTTTTTTTTTTTTTTTTTTAAATCCCACATTCCTCAAAACCTCTGATGAAAGCATTTGTTGACTTTTCTCATGTAGCTTGATTAACCGACAAGAAATACTGACCAAGGGTCAGTCCAACAACATCTGCGATCTCCTTCCTGATAAAATGTCAAGGCACAACATTCATTGTGAAACAGGGAAAGATATAATTAATATTTATTTATTTATTTATTTATTTATTTTTCATTTCAACTCACGTAGAAGAAGAAAAGCCTACGAGTGGCGTTGCTCTGCTGGGGGCAAGGAAATATTGGGTTGAGGTTTTTTTTTTTAAGAAGGTAAATTGCCACAACCCTGCCAACAATTCAAGAGGGAAGTTCAGGCTGGGGTTTGTAGGAAGGTGAATTAATCCTCTGCAAACAACAGACCACAAATGCTGTCAGAGAGCACCAAGGAAGGTCCTCCACGGTGCCTCTGTGGGGCAGGAGTGAGAAGAGCCTTGCTTGGCTCGGATTAATTTACATTATATTAATGTCAGCCCTTGCCTTGGACTCTGAGCATCAGAAAGGTCTTGTGCAGAAACACCAGGGCCACCTGTGGAGCATCCTGAGCTGAATTTTGCCTCCGCCCTTCACCTCTGCAGCTTGGTGCTCCAGCCACTACCCCAGGAATAAATTTACTCCTCGCTCGTCATCTGTACTCATAAACCAAGCAGCTGGTTTTCAGGCCTGGAGACAAACTGGTACGGTCTGGCCATGTCCAGGCTGTTAAAATCCAGGCACAGTGGCTGTATCCCAAATGCCTGCTGAGGATGAATCCCCCCAAGTTACCTCCTGAGGGGTGCCTGTGGGGAGTTGCTCAGGGCTGTGTGCTTTGGCCTCTGCTCAAAGGATGCCAGGACCGTGCTCGCAGCTGAGCGGAGAGAAAGGTTTTGTGGCCATGCACAATTTAACATATTAATGTACACGTAGCCTGGGTCTGCTTCTGAACTTCTCGCTCAATCCACAGGGAGCTAAGACGAACACAAAGAAAACCAAAAGCATAACCAGAAATAAACTCACAGTCAGGAATCCTCGGTACCAGCGGGCTCCTTCTCGTGCTGGTTCATGTCCTGGGATGGAGGAGACATCAAGGAAAGGGTCAGGGCATCACACGGGGCCAGCTGGAGGATGGTTTTCCAGCCTGTGCTGCTCCCTCCTTGTCTCCAGGAGAGATTCAAGCCTCGAGGTTCACCTGCTTGGCTTCTCTCCCACCACTCCCTTTTCTTTGTGGCTTTTGAGGTTTGCTGCTTTTCTGCAGGGAGGGATGTGGGGTGAGAAGTGGGGCTTGGCGTCTGCCGGCTTCTGTTCCCCAGGTAAAGGCTGATGCTTGCTGTGAATCCTGCCAAGTGATCGCCTCCTTCCTTCACCACTCCCAATATCCTGTGGCAAGGAGTTTTCTGCTTAATTATGAGTCGGAATTTAAAAAAAAAAAAAAAAATGATAATAATAATAATAAAATTCATTTCCTTTCATCACTTCTGAATCTTCCACCTTTCAAAGTTGGGTGCCAGGGGAGGAAAAACCCTCTGAAATATTCGGCTCGTTACCCTGCAGGGTGCTTGCTCCCTGTCCCATGGGGACCGTGGGGGCCCCATCCTGAGATCTGCTGCCAGCCCGCGAGATAAGCCCTGGGGGATGTGGGGAGCCGCGCTCCCCGCTGTCACAAACCAGCCCTGATTTATGCAGGCTGGAAACCTGTGCCAGGTAGTTGGGGATCGGTTCTCTGGGGTTCTTTTAATTGCTCCTTTCCACCTCTAATTGCTGCTTCTCACTGTGGCTGCTCCCTTACTTGCGTTTCAGGCAGAAATGCGCCTGCAGGACCAGCAGCTGGCCAGGCAGCTCATGCGCCTCCGCAGCGACATCAACAAGCTGAAGATTGAGCAGACCTGCCACCTCCACCAGCGCATGCTCAACGACGCCACGTACGAGCTGGAGGAGCGGGACGAGCTCTCCGACCTCTTCTGCGACTTCCCCCTCGTCAGCTCCTTCAGCCTCTCCACGCCGCTCAAGCTCATCGGGGTCACCAAGATGAACATCAACTCGCGCCGGTTCTCGCTGTGCTGAAAGGCAGGGCAGAAGAGGGAAGGATGGGGGAGAAGGAGGAAGGATTGGGCAGTGCCAGGGCTCTTCCTGCCTGATGGCTGGGCACAAAGAGGTCTCGGAGGGGCAGAAGGAGCAAGTGGGGAACCCATGGCTGGTCTTGGTGGCATAAGGAGAAGCAGAGCCCGGTGCTGGGATGGCTCAGAGATGAAAAGGCAGGACCTGCAGGAAGAATGGAGCATCTGAACCCAGCATGGGCAATTAGCCTGTTCTTTTGCAAAGTCCCTTCTCATCCTTCTCCTCTCCCTGCAGAAGCAAAGAGGTGGACACATCTCCAGTATTCAGAAGTCAGAGGGGAGGTTCAAAGATCAGCCAGAAATCAGGGCAAAAATCCCCTTTCCCTTCCCTTTTACCTCCTCCCAGGCTAGAGCTGTCTTCAGAAAAAGTCACTCTCCTCCCTGGATGTCTCCTGAGACATCGATCCTCTGCCTCTGACGGCCCAGGCATGGGGTCTTTGGGGCTGTTTCAGATGAAAAGATGGTTTCCAGTGGAAAGGAGCCCTCCCAGAAGCTGAGGGATGGTGGGTTAAATGGTTTGCAGCCCCAAAAAGTGGTGAGATGTGCTTGTTGACGTGCTCCATTGAGTCCGGTGTACTCTAGCTTAATTTTGTCTGTGGTATGGATTATGGATGAATTGTGGACATATTTACACAGAGGCTGCATCTGGCCAGAAGTCACCTGTGTGCCCTAGAATTTATACCCAGAGCAATATTTGTTCCTGATCCCACTGTCAGCCGTGGCCACAAGGCTCCCGTGGCTAGCTCCAGAAGCAGTAAGGCAACGGAGGGAGTTTACACCCGGGACATCCCAAAACAGAGAAACCACCCGGGGCTGACATTCCCCTCCCAGCAGCAGCACCAGCAAATCCTGGATCCTCTGTAGCAACACGCATCGGTCAGAGAAAGGACCTCCAAGAGGAGAAAATGGACATTTGGGTGATGAGGGTGAAGTGCGACTACAAATTAAAGATAAAAACATTGCTGCAATGAGCTGCCCTCACTGTGCTTTGGACCTGCAGCCATCGCAGGGGGATTCCCTCCTGTCCTGGCAGCATGTAGGGTGAATGCTGTGTTTTTCTGCCTTTCAGGGCATGAGGGACACAAGGGGCTTAGCCACAGATTCCCTGGGGCTCCTGGCACCCAAAACAGGGGACCGTGGCTGCCTCGAGGCTCTCCCTCCTGTTCCAACACTTCTGACCATGCCAGGGCCCAGCTCTGCTCTTCTCAGCATGCCAGAGCAGCTCGGTGGTGCCTCCCCCTCCAGTGTATGGCTCGCTGGGAGGTATTTGGGGGCAGCAGAGCTGCAGCTGTACTAATAGTTTAATCAGTGTTGTGCCTAAACTTGGAGACTTTTACTGCCCAGGTACTGAAGGTTTAATAGGGTTGTGGCCAGACTGCCAGTTGGCCTCTGGATTGTGATGCCATTTAGTTTACTAGTAGAGAAATAGCCTTATTTCCCCATGGACATTTTGGGAAGAAAAAAAAAAAATCATTAAAATTCTTCTTTGTTTACTTTTTTAATAAAAAAAAAATATCTATTCATGTCCCATGTTGGTTTTCGGAGGCATTTTCGATCAAAAGATGGCAACGACAGCATTTCAGTGAAAATAATGCCTTGGAAGAGAGGGACTGGTTCTCTCTAGGATAATCTAGAGTCAGATACAGAGGGGTCCTGCCTTTGGGCTCTTATCTGGCAGCTGAATGCCAGGGGTTAGTACAAGCACAGTCTTAGGAGGTCATTGTACGTGGCATTAGAGATATCAGACGTCTGGGTTCCAGACATGTATTTTCTGCATTAAGTGGGATGAGGATGGTTATAAACTGCCAGCTGTTCATCGAAATGCACAATTTTTTTAATTATAAAATGATGTCTGTACTGATTCCTGCCTCTGGTCTCTCCTTTTGTTCAGCGGCTCCAGTCCTGCCTGGAGAGCAGGCAGGGGCTGGAGACCTCACGTGAAGCACCAGGTGGGTCCAGCACCTCCATGCTGCCAAGCACCAGCGAGGTGTTTGCAAGGTTTACGGGTGTAAAAGGTTTTCCATCAGGTTTTTCTGTCCTTGCACATCATTAGGACATCCCCTATGGCTACAGCATCAGATTCTCTGCCTTGCAGTCTGGAGGAGATGGAAAGAAATAAAGGTGGGAGGACATGTTATGTTTTTGGACAAAAATGTACAGGAAACAGAGCCAAAAAAAAAAGTCACTCTTCACTCTTTCATGCTAGGTGTTGTTTTGTTACTCAGCCACTGAGCCAAAGGTGATTTCAGGCACTTAAAAATATATCCAGCTAAGGAAGAAAAATAAATAGAAAAATAAATAGAAAAGATTTGCCATGACTTTGCTCAAGCTCTCTTTGGTCCCAAGCTCTCTCAAGTTGTCTGCAGCTGCTTGGCCATGAGACATGCTCCTTGCTGAAACTAAAGAGCAATTCTGAGGCTGGTCCATGTGAATAATGAACATTTTTAATTTGGGTGGCCAGACTGGAAGATCACAGATTTCCCAAGTTTAACTAGAAGACCAAATTTCAGGGGGTTTCCCCAAAATCTCACATGTATGCACATTTTAGATTGTCTAGTATTTTAATTGGTTATATTTTTATTGTACTCAGAGTCCTAAAAAATATTAATTTAACACTAAAACCATTGAGAACAGCTCGTTTGCTTTCAGACATTGTTCTGTAATGAATAGTCAAAACGTTTTTCCTGAAATAGCCTTAATGAAACTTTTCTGTCAGTGGGGAACAGCCATTCATCCAGCTAGACCCAATCCCTGAAGTTTTGGTCAACCCAAAACTCTGTATATTTCACAGCATGAAGAAATCTTTTAAAAACAATTTGCCCAGCTTGATTATTTTTTTTTTTACTCTTTCTGAGTTGATTAAAAAGCAATTTTACATATTTCATCTTAGTCAACTGGCCATGCTCCCTGGCATGGTCCATCACGATACATTAATGGCCAAGAGACCTTGCTTCTTTTTCATAGCCCCTGTATAACGATGATAAAAAGGGTCATTATTCCTGAGGGAACTGTCTCATTCCTTACTCTTCTGGCACTGTGAAGTGCTATCAAATAATCAGTGAGTGATTTGTATTTTGATGTCTCCCACAATTGCCTCCACACAGCCCCTAATGAAATTAAACAGAGAGATCATCACAGAAGTGCTCTGATAAGTCACATTTATACCAGGAAGGCCAGGGAATGACTTATTTATAGAGTCACATGCTGAATTTTCAGATTGCTGCTGCTCTGTGGTATTTCAGATCATAGAATCAGAGAACCTTTGAATAATTATTAAAGCTGGAGCAGGCCTTCAAGATCATCTGGTCCAACCATCCCCCTACCACCAATGTCACCCACATGTCCCCAAGCACCACGTCCAACCTCTCCTTGAACACCCCCAGGGACGGTGACTCCACCACCTCCCTGGGCAACCCGTCCCGATGAACAGATTGTCATGGTCTAACACGGTCTGTGAAGAGATATCATGGTCCAACTATTTTTATATATGTGTGTGTGTGTGTATATATGCATACAACTCCAGCTGGAGTATTCCAAGCAGCTTGTTTTTTTTTCTCAGACTGAAGCTGACTGCTAAGTGGGTTTTATTTTAGAAGACAGAAGGGACTGAAAGAAAAAACAAAGGACAGCAAGGAGGAGGTGGCAGGCTACACACCAAAACCAAACCAGGCTCTCTTCCCTCGCTGTGTGTTCTGTAACCAAATGCGTGTCTGAAGAAACACACACAAGGGAGCAAGGCACTCCAAATCATTTGAACAGATACGGGGCAATCCCTTGATTTCTCAGGCTTTCATCCCTCATTCTTTCATCTTACTGTACCCAGAGGGACCAGCTCTGCACACATTTCATTCAGGGTAAAAGAGACCTGGATTTGCCCAGCCATTAGCAACAAGAAGGCAGCGTGGAGTCCCTGTGGTTCAAACCCTGGGGCAGCCAAGCCATCCTGGTTGCCTTCAGCAGCTTGGTGTGCCCTGGGTTGGCTACCAGGAGAAATCTGGGCAGAAGATGCCCAATGCTTCACCAAACCCTTCCCCAAAATCTCTTCTCCTCACTGGAGGGCTCCCCGACATGCTCCTGCCTGCCTCTCGGAGGGGGAAGAGGAGGAAGGAGGAATTGCACAATGTTTTTGTTCCACTGACGAATTCCCCCTGCCAGTTGGAACAGGCTGCTCGTAAATCGCAGCTTTCTGGAGGGGTTTCAAGAGCGCTGCCGTCTGAGATCATTGTCTCTGCTCCATGGGAACAATGGGGGCAGGAAGGAGCTGCTCCAAAAACGCAGGGTGCCACAAGGAGATTTCTTTGGGATGGGGAATGCTCCGGGAGGCAGGGGAAATTTCCCCCAGCTGCTTGAGACTGAGGATAGCTGCTGGATGGAAAATGGGAATGCTGTTCACAGTGAGAGATCCGCCCAGGTCAGCATCTTCCAGCCACCCCAGAAAGGTAGAACATTTATCCTCCAGTTATGCCTTGAAAAATGAGAGGTGGGATGGCCAACTGCTTGCCCCAGAGGTATAGACAGGGACCTTCTGGCCTTGGGTTTCAGATGAGATCACCTTGGCACGCTCAGCCTGCCCTGCACGACAGTCAGGATGGGGTTAGGTAAATGTTCCTCGTCATTCAGCAATCACTAATGATTCACAAGTCTTCCAAAGAGACAATTTCTAAATGAAATTCCAAGCCAAGGCTTGGAGAAGAAGTCTTCATGATATATACACCTCCCATGAAAACGCAGGATCAGAAGGGACCTCCAAGGGCTGCTCCTCCACCAGGAACCAGGACTCGATCGGGCCAAATGGTCAATTTTGTCTAGTTCATGCTATTAACCACAAAACAGGGCAACCACATCCAGACCACGTCTTGGGAGCGATCCCTGACCCACACAAACCCCCACACCTTACCTGGGGATCATTGTCCCATGTCTAAACCATGCTGTGGTCCATGATGGCCACCAAAGAGTTGGCTCCCAGCAAACACTTTGCCTGTTTGGTTTGCTAGCACAAACACTGCCACAGCACAAAAACAAGGAAAAAAAAGTCCCAAATAAGTTATTCTTCCTGACTTGGGGCTCTTCTAAGCCCACCCATCACAGAGACCCCCAGTCCTCTAAGATCCCCATGGGGAGGGTTGGCCAGCTCATTAGGAAAGGTGACTATACAATGGTAATTATCTGCGTTGGATGGTTAGATCGGATGAACTTGGAGGTCTTTTCCAACCTTAATGATTCTAGGATTCATTAGCTGTCAAACAGCCTGCTCTGAATGGTGATCCCAGTGATGCCAGGATGCTCCCTAGATATCTTGGTAGCAAGATGCAAATGGAATAATAATAAAAAAAAATGTTCTGTGCAGAAGCTTGGAGAAATGAAAACTGAGGAAAAAAAACAAGGTACCCAACCTTTTCCACAACCACCAAGTGCTAAGCTATCCCCCCATCCGGCAGCAAGCCCCCAGTTTCCCTGAAGTGTGCCATTAAAATCTCGTAAAGCCCTTCTTGTTGCCCTTAGCATCCCTGGCCAGCCTGTGCCCCAGCTGGGTGCCAGCCCCGCTGCTTTTATCCCTCAGTACCCGAGCACTGCCTTGGCACTCCTCTTTCATTTGCTCTCCTTATTTCCATTTCTTGTATGCTCCCTTTTAGCAGCTCTGTTCACCAAGAAGTGTCTTAATTAACCGAGCGGGCTTTGTGCTGAAATTCCTCATTTTCATGTGCAAAGGCAGGGCTTGTTCCCAAGCTCTGAATAAGTTTTCTTTAAAAAAAAAAATAAAAAAAAATCAACCAGCTGTCTCAGACACCTTCCCCACACCCCCCCAACAACTTCTCAGCTCCCTGAATGAGCTGAAATGATCTCTCCTGAGGTCCAGAGTCCTAAATCCAGTGTTTTTTTCCCTCTGGCACTGACTAGGGACATCGGATGGGTTTGGGTGCAGGAAGGGAGGAGATGAGGCTGGCACGTAGCTGCCCCGAGCCCCTGATGGTGCCTGGTTTTCTTCCCTAGAAAACTGGGTTAGAAACAGGGCCAGCCCTGCTCTCGCTGGAACTGGCCTGGATCCCTTCCAGGTGCCAACCTGCTGCCTGCTGACCCCTTCCCACCTTTTTTTTTCTTCTCTCCCATACGATGACCCCAAACCCTTGTGGTAACGCACAGGAGGGGGTTAAATGGGGATGGGGAGGAAGATTCAGGGGCAGGAGTCCTGCTCTCTTCCAGCAGGGCTACATGAGTCTACCCAGCCAGCCTGGCCAAGGATTTTGGTCCTGCTAAGAGCACAGGAGGATGCTTTTCCCCTCTGATCACTCTGCCTTCCCTTGCTCTAAGCGGTGGGGAAGAGCCAAGCCTGGCCATCAGCATTGCAACCTGTAGGATGTGAAGCTGCTGTTGAGCTCGTGGCCAGCCTCCAGCCCCCCGAGCTGAGCTCGTCTGCTTTTCAGAGCCCTGCCCTGCAGGGAGATTTTGCTCCTGCCCTCTTGTTTCCCCCCCTTCTCCTCCTCGCTTCCCTTTAGGGGCTGCGGGGCTTTGATCACCTGCAGCCCGTTAATTACGACGCGCCGCTCTCCGCCTGGAAAGAGAGAAAGAGAAGGGAGAAAGGTCTCCTTTTAGCTTCCCCCCCAAGGGACCCGCTTTGTGGATGGGCCTCCGGTCCCCTCGCCGAGCAGCTCTGCCCCGTGGCTTTGTGCATCCCCTTCACAAAGCCCTCTTTGTGCTCGTGCTGGGCTGGAGCCAGCCTGGGCGGCAAGCAGATGCTTATCCTCCAGCAGGAGCAGCACCAGCAGCTCCAGCAGGAGCTGAGGAAAATGTGAGCATCACTCCAGGTGCCTGGGCTCCTCCTCTGGGTGCTGGAGAAATGCCCTGCCCTGACGGGCTGCACCCA